AAAAAAAACAACTGTATACTGCATATTATACATGGTAAATTGCAGTGTAGGAAATATGACCCAGGTGTGGTTGAGTAGCTGCAGCACAATATCAGACAAGAGTGTTGTAGGATATTTCATGGTGAGCTTTCAACAAAACAGAAAGGGTTTCAATGGTCTACATTTGTAGCAGGGTTGCCTAATGACTGGGGATGATATCTCAGCCAAAACAATTGGGCTGATATAACAGATAACAGCAAAATAAAAATATTTGTAATTTGCAGTTTGGAAAATTGTGAAATTATTATTTCCCAATATCTATTATTTTATTTAAAAAATAGCAAAATTTGTATACCTTCACTGAGCATGCAAATTGGCATTCATAATGCCTGGGGAGCTGAACAAAAGTTGGGAATACTGAAAATTTTGAAATCTCCTGTAAAATATTATTTTTTCAGCAACAAATGAGCATTTAAATTTCAAAATTTGATTTTTTGGGCTGGAAGTGTTATTATAGGGTGAACATGTTAGTTATGAACATTTATCGAAATCAAAAGTATCACACCAGTGGCCTGTGTAACAGTTCACTATTATATCTAATATACAGTGAGTGTAAGGGTCATCTTCTGTGGGGTCCCCACCCTCTGTTCCATAGGGGAGGAAGGGGGAAGGGGGTTGGCTTCCTGGGAAGGAGTTTAGGAGGTGGAAGGGGAAGGATCACCCCAAACAAACTTTTGAAATGCCTCAGTTGCCAATTTGTAAACTTTAAACTTTGCAAAAAATTGTGTGGTGCCCAACAAAACCTATACAATGTGCATACAAATAATTATGGTACTTGACATGTAAACATTCAATATCAGCACAAAAATTGACATAATTCTTATTCACATAATTTTTATTATGATTGATTTTGACAAGTGATAAAATTCCCAACTTGGGGAAATTTTGTTTTAGGAGTTTCCAGTTCAGGAAACAAAATCTTATCCTGTGATGCCACTGCCCAGGTGTGGCTGGGCAACCTCCCCTAGTCCTGTATAAATATTACAAAACCGTAATATAAGTTCGCCACCTCATTTAATCAGGGCTGAAATTACGTATTATTAAAGCGCCTTAATTATGACTAATTTGGCATACTATCCGAAGTTCAAGGAATCCAACCGAAGGGCAAACTAACCTATGAAAACACCCCACCTTGGTCGTAAATTTTACGTAACTAATACACTGTCCTGGGTATTACTTGGCCAACCTAACTTTCATACACGTAAGTGAACATTGACTCATTTGACTGACTGCTTGTATGAAAATCTTTGAATGATCGATTGTTCCTTTTCAGAGCTTTGTGGCGGCGCGTCTTTTGGAGCAAGGGATTGTCAGCATTCCAATCCGTGAGGGACGCGAATTAGTCAAGCTCAATTGCGGTGTTCTTGTTTGTTTTTTTTTCAATCCTCCAGCGAAATGAAAGTCGGCCCCGTGTTTTTGTTATTCTTCCCTTGTCTGGGTCTTAGCGGATTTGTGTTTTGAGCTTGTTGGGATTTGCCGATGAGGTATTTGTCTCACTTAACGACATCTATGAATCTACGTGCGAAGCGGTATGTTTGTCGAAGTCTCCCCGTTGAATGCTACAGTACTCGGAAACTTTAATCCCGGTGCGACTGGGATAAAAGACCAGGGATGCCAGCAGTGACGATCGGCACTTCGCTTTGAGACTCGGGCGGAATGCGTGGTTGACGTGTGCTGTGCTAAACGTTGTTGGGTGGGATTATTGGATTTATTTTATTCAATGTGAAGAGTGGAGGTATATCTTGTTCCTTTCTTCACTGTTGAGTTTTCGTTTTGGTAATGCTGGGGCTTGTGCAGTTGAATGACTTCGTCTCGTTGGTTCGTTCTCAGATCTCTTACGGTTGAAAAAAAAAGAATCGCAGCCGTTGTGCTCGGGTGCTACGTGAAGAAGCAGTGGAATTTATGCGCGTCTGTTAAATCATCTTAGAAACCATCTCCTAGTTTTGCTGATTCATCATGTCCGGCTTTCGATTCGATAGTAAGCACGAGTTTATATTGTAACTCTATGTGTTCTGTAATGACAATCTCTGAATTCGATAGGAGGTGACGGTGGACCGCCCAGGAGGGACAGGGATAGAAGCCCGAACGACAGGCGTGGAGGTGAATATTGCATTGGTTTTTATAAGTTTCGCTTGGAGAAAGGTTTCAGCATCCAAGCGTCTTAGTTGAGACGTGGAGGAGGCGAATGAACGCTGAATCCATTTCCGTAACATGCAGAATTTGTTGCGGCACGCTTTACATCCTGCCCAGATATTCTCGGAAATTACTAAGTAGGAAATTTATCGATGGGTGGACGTAAGGATTTTTGCTCGTAAATGTAAAACGTCACATGGAAAGCGAGCGGAAATTGATTACCGAATTGCCTAGAGCCGCGGTTGCATTGAATACTTACATTAGTGTGTGGCTACAATGTTTTGCGGCTTCCGACATTCGTACGCGTCTCCGTAAGGCTTTAAGAACGTTTATGGAAGCGATTTTGTTGTTGTTCTCTCTCTCTGAGATCTATGTTTTTCCTATCTTCTTTTCAGATAGAGGCGGTGACAGATCTGGAAGACCAGGTGAGAGTTGTTGATCTTCGAACCAATTTCGTATGAAATGCCGTGCAGTTGTTGAATCACATTGTGTCCCAAATCGAAAATAGAAATGAAAAAACCGGAAGGAGCTTCAGAAGTATCGCGAGAAATATTTGTTTTTCATACTATCTAACGCCCTATGTTATTTTTGTCTGGCTTGGCAATGAGTAATCACTCGTGATATTACTCCTCTGGGTATTTTTTGCTACATTATTGAAAGCTCTTCATCCATATCTCGTGGAGAATTTATTCATTTCTCGTGGATCCCCCCAAGACCCTGTTCGTAATTTTGCCGTCAGTTTGACCTGCAAGATTAAGACCAACAGATGTACAGAATAGTCGGGATTTTTGTACAGTATCCTTAACCTGCGGATTTTTTGTAGGCGCTGCTTTCAAATGTGAATCGATCGCGAATTTATCCTTTCACCCTCTGAATAGATGATCGTTGGGGGACCGACAGGGGCTCCTCCTCGTCTGCACCGAGGTTTGATCGGGGAGATCGAGGTAGCCGATCATATGGTGATGACCGCCATGGAGCGGGCAGCTATTCTAACAGTCGTGGGGGTGGCCATGATTCTTACCGCGATCGATCCAACGACCGAGGCCAGGATGACAGACGCGGAGGTTACGATGACCGCAGATCTGGATACGACGATCGACGAGGTCGAGGGGGATATGATCGCGGTGGTCGAGGGGGATATGATCGCGGTGGTCGAGGGGGATTTGATCGTGGAGGCCGAGGTGGCTTCAGAGGCGGACGTGGGGGAGGGGGTGGTGGTGGAGGACCTGCCTTCACGACTGATGCTGCTGTAGATCTGATGGATCAAGCGTCCGAGGATCACAATGCTATGGAAGGTACGTGCATTTTATTCTCGTTTTGTGATCAACGATATCCACTGTATTGCTGAATTTCCTCACGTGAATTACCGTAAACAGCGTGCTGCTAATTTATCGGAAAACTGCCACAGGTGGACAGCGAAAGCTCGAGGGATCCGAATTCGTTGTAGAGAGCTCCCATAACTTCGATTGGGAACCCTATGGTACAGCAGCAGAAAAAGATTTTAGATAGTCCACCTTGAATGTGTCGATTGTCAAAAGTACGAGCGGATAGACTGTAGGAGTTCTCACGAAACATGGAATTTGATATTTCAAGGTGAAAAGTTTACGTCCGGTGACCTGAACATCCGATAACCGAATGCTGAACTTTCAAGACTACTGAAATTTAACTTTTCGATATCAAGTTTTATTAGGGCTACTGTTCTAAAAGACTGGGAAAGATCGAAAATGGGATAAACTCGAGTTCTGAGTTGTAATCCGTTTGGAAAATTTCATCTCCTTGTCTTGGTTGCGAAGATCGATCATACCGAAAAGAACTTGAAATCCATACCTTGATATTTTCAAGCTTTGCAGTAGTGTGCTGTTCCAGTTCTGTCCTCGTTTTTCATCGTATATTTGATTTTTTCCGTGACAGGGTCTGCAGGAAAACGCTTCAAAGTCGTAACCAATGCATCCCGAATGAAGATCAGATCCAAGTTCCTCATTCACATGTATCACGTTGATTTCGATGAATCCGTTGAAGATCGGAGGACGATGGTATGGTTGGTGAATCAGTCCAGGGAAATACATAACGGAGTTTTTATCCCGGACCATTCCCTGTACTCCACCAAAGACTTCGTTGATCCAGTCACGAAGGTGAATATTTTTTTCTTCTAGAAGCACAAATGTTTCATAACTTCGTTCATGTCATTCGCTCGGTTTGATTTGAGCTCAAATACACTTGTGCGGAAATTTTAGAAGCGCTATTTTGTAGATATACAGGACTGTACATGGGTTCCCCGTATAGAGAATGTATTTCAATTTTATTACCCTCTTTTTTTTTTCTGGTGCGGTTTAAGATTTGTTGAAGGCATCAAACCATGAGAGGGAATTTGTTACTCGTTCGAATGTTTTTCAGATTGCGGTAATGTTACCGTACTTGAATAATTCCTGGAGTGTATGAATTTTTTTTAGTTTTTTTTTATCGCTGAAATGAATAAGTGAGGAAGACTTCCGCCAACGTTTTGCTTTCCACTGGTGATCGAACAAGAGCCTACCGAACACATCTGCCTAATCGAACTAGATTTTTCTCGCGCACGTTGCTGAGAAATGGGCTCTTTTCCTGTGGGTTAGCGCCGATGAGGGATATTCGGCTATCGCATTTTGGGGTTATGTTTTCAAATCTGTCATTACAGAAACTAGAAATACCTCTGAGCAGGCGCTCACGAGAAGGATCTATTCCAGTGACGGTGAAGTACCGCTGGACCAAAACCGTGGATGATACGGATCCATCGTTCGTTAACTTCGCGAACAACATTTTGCGGAAGTCACTGCATGCTTTGGAGATGACGATGATCAAACGATCCTACTATGACCTGGGTGCCGCCCAGTACATTCCCGAGTTCAACATCAACCGGGTCCCGTCTTATGACATCTCATTGAAAAGACTTCGAGGTGGAATTTATCTCGATGTTGAAATCAGGGAGCGGTCTATGAGGAGGGATACCGTCCTAGACGCCATGAAAGCAACATACAAGAGACTCCAGGTGAGACTCCGAGAATTCTTACATCGAGGAATGCAACTTTGATCCAATGTCGATTGTTTTCTTACAGAATTCTGGTTATGAGTGTAATATTCTACCTCTTTTTAATTGCAGCGAGCCAACAAAGTGGGAGAATTTATAGATACTGTCAGAGCGGAATTGGTGAACAAAGTGGTTTTCCTAAGGTATAGCGGCCGAACTTTCAAGCTTTGTGACGTGACGGATAAAACCGTCAATTCTACGTACAAAGAAGGATCTGACGAGACTGTCTTGGAATACTTCGAGCGAGTGAGTGAAGTTATGTCCTGTGATTTACGGATGTGACCTACTCCGCAGATGTGCTGGCTAATCAGGGGTCTTGATATTTAATGCCGCCACATAATTATTGCCGGACTCGGTCCAATATCCATCGTGGAGAAAGAATCGTTGAACCAATTTGGATCTTCTAATATCACTTTAATACTGGTACACCCGATTCCGCATTTTCAGTTTTTTGTGCAAGATAAAAGTAAATTACTGTACAACATGTTATGGTTCCGACGTGTTATGGTTCCTCATATTCATGAATGGTTCGTGGAGGTTCTAGAAGTTAACTGTTGATGCATTTTATTCTACAAATTTCAGTAATTTTTATTCTGTCTTCCACGCTGTAAAACTCAGTTTTGTTGGCAGATCTTCGGCTGCACGTCTAGGTCACATCTCATACAACTAAAATTTTTTTTCCAATCCGGTATTTCTGGGAACTTATCTTTCAAGATGAAGCATTGATTGATCGTGATTTAACCAACGAGCAAAGCGAATTTTGAAATGTATCCTTGCCTTGTACTCGCCTTTGTCAACTATGGGCTTACTTTCGCATTTTTGTATTCCGTCAGAATTACGCAAACGACAAGTTCGCGCAAATTACTGATCTGGACCAGCGCTTGGTCAAGGCGGTTAGCACTGAAAAGGATTTGCGCCGTAAGATGAATCCGAACATGAAAGACGCCCCGCGCAAAGAGATGACTTTAGTTCCCGAAATGTGCTACTTCACTTCGCTTGATGAAACGATGAAGTATGTTGGAAAATGAAATTTTGGCCTGATCCGTTTTAGAAACGTAATGCAATTTTCCAGTGTTACGGATCAGCAGCGCCGAAATATGGCCACGAAATTCCGCAAGAATCCCGACACACGTGTCAAAGACGTTCAGCGTTTCTTGGATCGCATCAAGGCTCACGAGAAGGTGAGTCATCTTTTCATCTTGCGCTCTTTTAAATTTGGTTGGGAATGATAGGTACAGTACTCAAATTTTCTGATGGTTGAATCATTTGAATGTGAGGACTGTAGTGTCACTAAAATACAGCACAGTACTCACATCTAGAGTATAAGTTAATTTACTGTTGATGTTTTCGGATGAGACCCGTTGTTGGCTTGGATGCGAATGCAAGCTTCGAGCAATTTGCTCATTTTCCGTATGTTTTTCAATGCTGCCCTAATGTGTCAGTTTTTACGTCTCATATCCAGTACATTTTGTAGTTCGCTCAGAATCTGAGCTTCTCGATAGAAGCGTGGTTACCTCATTGCGTAAGTGATGTTCAAGATGCTTTTTTCCAGCTCTTCGAAACCTTCCGAATTTGCAACTTCCTGTATTTCAATTCTGGCAAGTACAGATGTTACAGTATATTATCTGATTTTATGGTATACTCTACGAAGTAACCCTCAATGATTCATCTTGCTTGATCGAACAAGAAAGTGTAACGAAAAATTCGTATCCATTCGCAGATAAAAGCAGAGATAACCACGAAATGGGGATTTGAAATTTCCCCGGATGTCGCTGAAGTCGAAGCTCGTGAGCTTCCGATGGTTGGACTGACCATGAGCAGCAGAACCATTAACATTCAAAATTCAAGCTTCCAGAATTGTCTGCGCCGTGAGTCCCTGCAATTGTTATTGTGATTGTCAATGTGTTTGTATTGGTGAAATTGATCGTTTCCGCAGAGTCCAGGGCTGAGATTGCGGTGAGTTTGAAGGAGTGGATTGTAGTGGCCACGGATCGATTTAGAGATGTGGAAGATCCAGTGAGGAAATTGGCAAACTTGATGCGAGAACTCGGCATGGAAGTCGGCAAGCACACTGTGTAAGTTCAAGAAAATCAATTTGTCTTCTGCAGAAGGTTCTATCGGTCGCTCATTATCGTCGTAGACTCATTTTTGTGATTAAGTCGTCGTCATGCAGTATTTATCTTCATTTTCTTCAGGGAACGCACAAGAGGAGACGCGGCCCATGCTTTCTCATCTATTCTGCAAAAAATTGTACAAACAAGGCCACAATTTGTCTTGATCTTCGTGCCAAGTGCGGACGAGGCCCGCTATCAAGCCGTGAAACGATGTCTCATGGTTGATCATGGAGGTTAGATCGCTTTCCTTATCCGTTTGTTTGGTTGTGCCATTTTATATTACAGTAATCGTTGAACATCTCCTTTCCTCTGAACGCTTTAAATGTTCATTACGCGCACCAGAGATGAACCGAATTTGCATTAGAAAAGTATGCTGGAGCTTCTCGCGTGTCTCATTTTTTTTTTGGAATTTTCGGTACATTGTTGTTACGATCCGTGGTTCGATGATTTCTCAATTGTTGCAGTGCCAAATCAGGTTGTCCAAGAAAGTACCCTTGGTAAGGGGTTGAGTGCGCTCACGAAAATTGCGCATCAGATCAATTGCAAGTTGGGTGGAGCCCCGTGGAAACTCGTGACGAGCGAAATGGGCACTTTGGTCATCGGCTTCGACGTGTACAAGGAGAAGCGCGCTCAGACGTCAGTGAGTGCTTTGGTGGCTGCGCTTGACAAGGACTTCCTGAAGTTCACTTCGGATTCCCGAGTTACCGAAACGAGAACGAGCGATAGAATCTCGCCTCATTTGTCGCAGTGTTTCGAGCGTGAGCATATTCCCAAATACCATTTCTAGAACTTTTTATGATAAAGTTTCGTTTTTGAGACGTTTTGCAACGCGGTGCGATGAACCGACTCACTCAATGTCCTCAAGTATTGCATTATGCGTTGGATGGGGCTAAAATATCTTTACCCTAAGCCCCGTTGAATTTGCCGGCGATGAAAATTTTTCATCGTGCTGTGGCAATAAAAAGTCCAACCTAGATAAGTCGCCACATTTATTTCTGGCCATTTAGATTTTAAAGGAATCAAGTTCGATAAACAGCAGAATTATCCGTCTGAAAAGAATCAGAACAACCCACGACGGCGTAACTTTTACTATATCCAAGAAGTAAATGATGCCTTTTCAATGCGAAACCGTTCACGGAAACTTGAATCTTTTCGGCGGACTATCGAAGACGGCATTGACAGCGGGGTATTCGTGTCGATAGTTTTGGCGGATGGCGTTTTGAAAGGGTTTCCCGAGGCGGCTTTTCAAAAGTTCAATGGGTTTTGACTGCTCCTTCATTAATCTCTTTCTAAACTAGTAAATTTGTGGCGACGATAATTTTCAAAGCATTACATTTATGATTTTACCCGTGCCGTAGCTCAAGGTACCAATTTTTGTTGCCTTGACAGTAATATAAATGCGTTTGGTTTTTGATTTGCAGATGTTTTGAAGAGATACCGGGAAGCCAACAAATCTTACCCGAAACGCGTTGTGGTTTTTCGGGGAGGCGTTTCTTTCGGAGATTACGACGCTCTACGAGCAAGTGAAATCGATTCGATCAAAAATACCTTCAAGGTGAGTCTCTCGATCGTAGACAGGGTTAACGAGAGTTCGTTCCAATAACTTTCTCTTCCAGTCGATGACGAATGAAGACATTAAACTGGGTTATTTGATCGTCAACAAACGCGTGAGCAACTACTTCTTCAAGAGGAGTGATCGCGATCATTCCTCCTTCTTCAATCCGCCCGGAGGAACTGTAATTGATGCGGAAATTTCGTCACCGGACAAGTAAGATCTGGATCCCATCCGGATTGAAAAATGAATGATGAACTCTGAATCAACAGTTTCTCCAGTGAATATTTTCAGTATGAATAGTGTACGATGTATTTAAAATCAGTAACTTTTCTGATGAGTTGTGCTGTACTACGCCAATTTTGCTGAATTAGCGAAGATAAACTGAGCAAAATTTTGGAAATTTCCATGATTTGAAACTGTATAAGTACGTAAGAAATTCGTTTCTTGTACTGGATCCGAAAAATGACGAGACTTCGAACACCGTTTCATGTTTCAATATTTCTGTTACTTTGAAGAATTAGAGTAAAGTATGTATCTGGCTCTGATGATGTATTCACCTATTTGTCCTTATGGTCGCGACTCGGGGATGGTGTCTTGAAGAGCGCTATTACTTGAATGATTGAATTAGCGAACACATTCGGATGCACGAAAATACGAAATTCAACATTAGAACAGGACTGTCGACCAGAACATTTTTGGGTCGTGATGCCTGTTCGTTGAATTTGAAATGTTTGGTATCGATTTCAGGAAGGAATTTTATTTGATCCCTCAATCCACAAACCAGGGAACTGTCAACCCTGTGAACTACGTTCTCCTGGAGGACACCATTCCGGAGTTTTCGCTGGATCATTTCCAACTTCTGGCGTTCAAGCTGACCCACGCGTACTTCAATTGGACTGTGAGTTAACTCGGCAATATGTTGAAGGCATTTCGTGTGTTCACGGGAAACATGTTCGTGTGTGTTCCAGGGGGCTATTCGTGTTCCGGCGGTTCTCCAATACGCCACTAAGCTGGCTACGCTAGTTTCAACGGGTACAAAGAAGCCCTTGCATCGGGATCTTGCCGGAGCGTTGACCTTCTTGTGAAGTTTCTGCTCATGATCGCTGTTATTGTTTTGCAAATCATGGGAAGAGTACGAAGGCGTGGGTGGCTGAATTTTCCAGTTTTTGTACAGGAAGCTTAGTGTTTCTTGTTGTGTCGGATCTGACGATGTGTATCTACTCCGTCTGACTTGTCACGGATTGATGAATGAGTGTGTTCGTGAAATTTTCTTCATTCCCTGTTCTTGTTGATTTGAGTTGTGTTCTGAGTTCCTTATTTTTCGTGCCTGGGGCCTTCTGGTGCGGAGACACTGTTTCCCCGATCGAAGAGAATACGTACATGGTTTGGGAATTTTTGAACTGTGCCCCAGGTGTTGTAAAAATTTTCTGTTGAAAATCCGTTGTGACGTTGAAATTTTCGTTCGATGTGTTGTTACAGTTCCGAAAGGTATTTCTTCGGTTCCAGAGAAATGAACGGGCCCGGTTCCCGGGTCAAGTTAAACTTGGTTCGTGTTTTCTCTCTCGTGAGTGGACTGCTTCACGGGCATTGCGAATATTTTTAAATTGAGGGACTTCCCAGAAACCCCTTCCCGTGAATCTTTAGCTACACTTAACACGCTGGCGTGTCGTCTCATGTCGAGAGCTCCTCGCTGGCTGACGAGTGTACCTCTCTGGCCAGCGATTGTGAAAATCGTTTTTCCGTCGTCATAAACGGCGGTATGTCACAAATCCTGTCGAAACCATTTTGGCAGGCAGGGCGTATTCTACCCTCAATTTGGACTCCGGAGTATCTCCTGCCGTCCAGCAGGGCGTACTCTAGACTCTAGAGTACGTCCTGCTTGAATAAATTTTATGGTGGGAGACACTAAATCGGGTTGGTTGGGTGTCTGGCTCCACTTCATAAATTTCACCTCATTGTTAAATTTGGTGCAGTTCTTCTCATTTGAAATGGAATTCTCATTTGAAATGTTTTCCATCAAATGAGGTGTTTTCTGTTCTCATTTCCAGTTCGCTTTAGAGTTGATTTTGTTTCATGCGTTTTGCACCATAATGTGTTCTGGTGACTTTTTGAAGTAACATGAAAAGCTGTGTAGGTGGACTGGCTTCTTGTCTTCTCAATGCAGTAAAAATGTGTTTACTTGTTCTGCAGTACAGTATCTAAGGTAATTATCATGCTTAACACTTCTACACTGCATATTGTGTGGTTTGGTCTTTGTTGGAAGGTCGTTAATATTGAATTGGTGATCTTCATTAATTGGGGAAGCTCCACTTCATTTTACTGACCCTGTGTTGGGTTTCACGTATGAAGATTTGGACATGGAGCAGTAGCTGATTGGAGTTTTGGAGTAAACCTTATCTCCTGGTAAGTGTGCCATTCACACTTCTCTGCGAACCCTTTCGGATATTTTGAAAGCCAGGGCGGCGAATCCAATTGTTTGCGTGGCAGCTGTCTTCAGCTGAAGAATCAATTTGCTTGGAAAGATCCCGCAAAAAAGATAATTTCACACAGAAGTGGTTCGCCATCCCGAAAAAGCTTGACAGATAATCAAATGTAGGCCGTAGTACTTGTTCACTAACCTGGTGACGTTAATCATTTATCTTTGATCGTTGGTTCTCGAAGCACTTGGTGCAGAAGGCCGACGTCCTAATACAGCTTCGCAATGTGTCGCGCACATAGCAATAATAGAACTTCCCTGCGGTGTTCGGCCTCGTTTAATCCCGGACTTGGTCCACAAGGTGTGCAACGAAGGTGTTCCTGACTCATTGAAAGCAGCGTCTCGGGTCCATCGGCTAAATCTGTCAAGACATTGTAAGTAGATTCAACAAAGTCATTCTTGCCATTTAGTGCGTTTGGTCAGCAGAAGTGGTGACCAATGCGTTGTGGAGATTGCTAGCTAGGCATGATTTTGGTCATTTTTTGGTTTATAACATGTTTTTTTGTTTGTATCTTTCAGCAACCCGCAGTTCTAGCCGAAGTATCGAACAGTATTCTGACAGCCATAATCAGTGGGATGCTGTTACCTGATGAGAGCATTCGGTTAGCTGCTGTCAATGCCTTGCTGAACTCGCTTGGGTTCGCGCAGAACAATTTTGCCGTTCAGGTTAGTCCAACATGTGCCTTAGTCTTCTTGTGCCTTCAGAAGTATAATTTATGTTAATAAATAAATATGATGTCTTGTTCGTATTGAATTGCAGAGCAAACGGAAGGTCATCATGTCCGTGACATGTGAAGCCACGACGTCCAGTAATAGTGCAGTGTTCGGGCCGAATTATCTGGTTGTACTACGAGTATATGGAGGTTTACATGGCCAGTGCCCTTCTACCGGTGAGTCAAAGTTTTTCTCCATGGCAGGGGAATTGTTGCAGGGAAGAAACGGCCTGTAGGATGTAAAAAGACAAAAAGGATTTGAGAAGAGATATGGGAAGATGGAATTTGTTGCAATTTTTCGTTGCATTTATTTTAAGACCAGGAAGATGTGGAAAAATCTGTTTGTGAGTTCGGGCATCTTTCACGTGTCAAGAGCAATATGCTTCTTTAAGAATATGCCTCGTGAACCTGGATCTAAGTGCGCAAAGTAGGAATCATTTTATGTTCTCTTCCGAGTCCCTTCATGTGAAGGGAATGGATGTGACATTGTTTTGGGAAATGGATGTGATGTCACTTCCATTGTTACCATTTCAATGTTACCATTTGATGCCTTTTCCGCAGATAACTCTCGAGGCCATGAATCTGGACACGAGCGAACTGGTGCTGCAAGGAATAGAATTTTGGAGCACAGTGTGCAAAATCGAACTGGATTTGGCTTCAGAATCAGCAGAGTTGGAGTGACCCGCGCTGGCTGATCAGTCCCGACATTACGCTAAAGGTGCACTCAAGTACGTTCTCCCGATATTGCTCGAAACGTTGACCAAATAAGACGAGTGCGACGAGGACAAATGGACGCCGGCGTGTGTCTGTCGCTGTTTGCCCAGTGCAAGGAAGATGCCATTGTCGAGTATGTCGTGCCTTTTGTCACGCAGAATCTTGGCAATGGGGACTGGAGGTATCGTGAGGCTGCTGTGATGACATTCGGGTCCATCCTTGAAGGTGAGGAACAAAGAATAGCTCTCTTTTGGGCGTTTATTTTGGCGATTCTTAAAGCAAACGCAGTAGAACTTCTCTTCAGGCGATTCGGCCATTTTGTTTTTCAAAGAGTATTTACGAAAAATGATTAGATTGTAACCGAGCGTCGTGCTGATGGCGAAGTTTTACTGCGTTTTACTTTTATTTCCTTCTGCCGTTTTTTTGGGGGCTCCTATATGATGATTCAAAGAGTTGTGGTTTTGCGTTTTTCGCTGAAAATGATGAACGACATATCTCTTGGCTGTCTGACTTGTTCAAATACTGTACTTGGGATTGGCAGTTGTCGCATTGTTGAAATTTCAGGAGGGATTTCTAATGCGATGATCCTGTTGTCTCAGGTATCAGATACAAGAATGATCAAAGGTGTTACGCTTTGGAAAAGAGAGATTTTAACCAAATTTTCATTTCGTCAGGACCGTCGAATGAGAAGTTGAAGCCTATGATGGATGAAGCGTTGCCTGTGCTGATGAATTTGATGTCACATATGAGCATCCAACTGCAAAATACAGTACGACGGCTTGGACCCTGGGTAGAATATGTGAAGACTCGGACGTCACGTCGAATTCTGAAGTTCTCACTTCGCTTCTTAACGCCTTCTGTGTTTCACTCAGTGATGAACGGTTTGTCGCCGTCAACGTTCGTTGGGTTAGTGTACTTTGAAAACATCATTTTAAAGTAGTTTTTGTGATTTAGCGTGATATATTTAGAGCATGTTAAATCGGAAGATCTGCTGAATGTTTATTGATGTGCTCTGAGCTTTCAAAAACCATTTACATTTTTTTTTTCAATTATGTTTCTTGTCCCTCCTTAATATCCTTCGAGAAAGGTTTAAGGATAAGTCGAAAGCATTCACTTTATCTAGAAATTTACTGTGCACACCTTCTGCAGATTAAATAGCATTTTCGCATAATCGTTCGCTTCTTCTTGCAAAATTTTTATCACTGTATGAAGTTCATTTTAATGTGTGTACAGTTAAAGATACAGACTGAGTTTCGTGTTGTTGAACATGTATTTAAATTTATGCATGTACAGTACTGTACCTGTATTGAAAAAATTTTTTTATCAACAGGCCTTGAAAAGCTTGAGCTTTGCCGCGTACATGGCCGTCCAAACCAGTGATGAAGAGAGCATTGAGCCGGATGCTATTCCCTTGTCGCCGTTTTTCCACGTTTTGATGCAGAAACTGTTGTGGACAACCGAACAAGCCGATGGCGCACAGGTCAGTGATTCAATTCATCCACATCAGATATTTTTGCGTACAGTATTTGAAAACACTGAACTGTCTAATTTGATGGAATGCCTTTTTGTGCGAGGTCTAGTTTGCAGTACAGTATATATATATTTTTTTATCGTCAATTCCAAGCATAACAAATGCCCTATTTATTCTTGGAATTGTTCAGTCATCTTCAATGAACTATAGTGCGGCTCCGAGATGTGGACGTAATCACGACTGTGGTCGCATGTCAGATCACCCTTTAGTTTTGAATCGATTCTCCTGTTCCGCAAAAAATTGTAGGGAGATTATATTCGTTGGCACACAAAAAAATATCAGCCCAGTTTGACAAATTTTTTTCATAAATCACCCTGGCAGAGTTTTGCTCTCCACTCAAAAGATGAGGCGCCCTTTTTTTTGTAGCCCAGCTTTCCCGTCAGAATTTTTGAAATGAACTTGGCATTCTTTCTAAGGGTTGCCTCCAGGTCATCCAAGGCAATTCCGCCATTTTCATCCACAGCCGTCTTCACAGCTGCCACATTGGTGGCTGCGAAGGCGGCTGTTAATGAAAATGGCGGAATGTTAATGTTAATGAAAATGGCGGAACACAGCCGCCACAATGGCGGCTGTATGAAAAATGCGTGTTAATGAAAATTGCGGAATTGCCTTGGATGACCTGGAGGCAACCCTTAGAAAGTATGCCAAGTTCATTTCAAAAATTCTGAGGGGGAAGCTGGGCTACAACAACCAAATCTGCAGGAAGGGCGCCTCATCTTTTGGGTGGAGAACATAACTCTCCCATGGTGACTTTTGCAAAACATACAAAAAAATGGGTCAAACAGGGCTGATCTAGAATTATCTTTCTTTAAAATTAAAATTATGTTGAAGTTTTGCCTCTATTTGTAACATTCATTTATGTTTCATTGTTCTTCAAGTAAAGCAATGTTTTAGTACAAAGAATCAAAACCAAGAACACTGTACCACAAATTTTCTTTGTAACAAATTTTTTAGCAGGTCCCCAGGAGTTTATTGTAACAAGATTTGACTGTGCTTGACTTTGACTTTAAGGATGTGTATGTTGTTTGCTTTTATGCTATGTTACAGATGGCTTCATTCACTAATTATTTCATGCTGTTTTGTGTGATGAAGTGGAACATACTACACCTGGTGTAGACAAATATGGTTGCAAAGCAATCATGGATGAAGTACTCAAGGATGAAGCCATGTTACAGATGGCTTCATTCACTAATTATTTCATGCTGTTTTGTGTGATGAAGTGGAACATACTACACCTGGTGTAGACAAAAATGGTTGCAAAGCAATCATGGATGAAGTACTCAAGGATGAAGCCTTCAGTGTCAATGAATGTGTTCCAAACAAACACTTCAGGAAATGGGTATGTACTGTACAAAAAGGAAAGCTTCCTGTTTTCAGTAATAAAATCATTGATTTCTACAGTTACATAATCACATTGAAACACACTTGAAGACAGTCATTGGACAATACATGGACACACTTTGTGGGTGAGGAGTATCCATCCTTGAAATCATGGAGAACTGGAGCATATTTGCAACAAGGGAATCCTTTCAAAGTGTGTCAAAAACTGTTGATGCATTGGGGGTGGGTGGTTGCTTGTGTGAGCATTATATTTTTTCCCTAAAATTTTTCACAGTTGTACAACTGTTTTGAGCTTGAATTGAATAACATGCAAATACTTTTTTGAATTATGCATTCTTATTTCATCTGGATTCTTGTTGAGAATTAACAAAAATGAACACTGATAACATCTGAGAAAGACAGGAAACACCATAAGATTTGTTTATGCAGGAGATATTCGAGTCCAAATTGTATGCCCTGCCTGCCACACTGGCAAGGTCTTCGAAAACGCAGTCGGTAACTCCCGCACATAATTAAGTTCAGTTGACTGAAGTCATGGTCCACACTACCATCCACGAAGTCACTTCTAGATCTATGTAAAACTTACTTAGCGTAAGAACGCTTCGTAACCTCAATCGCTTGAAACCAAGCTGCCGAAATTTAATGATTGATTAAATTATTAAATTTAATCTCCGATAACATACTTGATGCATCATTGGGATCAGGTACGATTTCATTAAACTGGCATGCATCTGGTTCCTGCAGATCTCTTCCGCAGGGAATGCTCGGCTCCAGCCGAACATTCTCTTACGACCAAAAGGAACCCCAAGATCAGAAATAAAATACGCGAAGACCTTGGCATTAACGCAGCAACTACACGAGCCGTCTGAAATGATCACTGCAACTTGCACTTGACAGCATCGCATTTCCATTTTATTCATGAATTCCTGAAACCAGACACAAAAACCCAAGTAGCAAAGTAAACAAGTTCAAACAAAGACGCGATAAACCTGGAGCGCGTGTTTGAGCAAGTAATGCCCCAAAATGCGTTCGCTTGAGGACCATCAGCGGGAATCGCTCAGCACTAAACACCATCAAGATAGAATAAACAAGCTCGAGGTTAATCGAATCTCTCGATTGAGACATTGAAATCCGCGCATTTGATTAAGAAGGATGGAGCCTCCGCAAGTCAAGTGAGCAAGTTGACTCAGTCAGTATAAGATCACCCAACAAAAATGAGTCGCAAACCGTTCCGTCTTTTTCTTCCTGTTTCGCACACAAGATTCCAGGGACACAGCCTCGAAGGGGAGGAAAACAACAAAAAAGACACTCCACAGTCAAGCCCCAAGTGGGATCCAGGAGGGAGAAAAATTTCGAGAAATACTTGGTCGGGATTTTCCGGTCTTCAGTAAGGCGATCTTGACTAGAACAATTCATCAATTCGTCTGCTAACCGGTTCTCAGATCCAATCATGCATCTAGGGAGATTATTCTTTTCCTTCCGTGTCTGCCACGTAACACGGCTTCATCTCTAACTCTCTCTCTCTCACTCACACGCAAGACATAAAGAGAGTTCGGATTTTTGCAATCAAATAATGTAGAGAATTCTGAAGGAATGTCTCTCTCAAGTATTCAACGTGAATACCGTCCGTCAAAAAACCCCCTCGCCAGCAACACTCGAATATGATCACTCCAACGTAAAAGCAAGCTCTACTCACGAATTTCTCTAAAAAAAACTCAACTGGGTCACTTCATCACTGAATACGCGCATTGGACAGACAGATAACGAGATCAACAAAAAAGGAAGGAGACAGAGCTGGAAACGCCTTCTCAGATCATTCGAAAAAGAGGAAATCATCCACGACGGACTGAAGAATTCGGAACCAAGTCATGATCTCGCACGAAATTCATGGTTTCTCTAAATTTAATATTCAAATCTTCGACTTGACTTGACTGTGAGAATGCGATTTCTAAAAATCAATGCATCAGCACGAATCAAGGGAAAAAGGTGCACTTTTCTCTGGTGTATCAAGTTCGAATGCATTCTTGTGCACATATTTTAAAAAAAAAATTAGAAAAAAAAGATATTCACCACAGAAAGATACGAGTTCATCAGAACCTTTGGCAACTTGTTCAATGCTCAATTGTTGATATTAATATACCAAATTGAAGGCAATTCAATTCATCTATAATTAATCTCGGGTTTCTATTCTTATTTACAGAGGTTTTTGAAGAATTGCACATTTAACTCAGGTAAATACGGGGTATGAGTACAGTATCACATTTAACCCAGTACTCATTCCATTTCAGAACTTGAATCTCGTGACGTATTGAGTATCCCAAGAATTTTTTGCAAGACCGCGACTTGTACCGAATTTTTCCGAGTCTGTCCATGAATACCCAGTACCGACATCTCTCTCTCTCTCACTGCAGGTTCCAGGTGGGGTTGCCACAAAGAAGCAGCCGATTTCGAAGGACATAATGCGTCTGCCCAGAACAGCACTGCAGTATTCAATGAAATAAAGTTTAAAAAAAAAATGAAACGACCCAGCGGAAGCTCAGTTCTGTCGAACCGACGAATGCCTCAATAAAACGCTCAACTTTCAAAATGTCGCCCACACAGCACCGACCAAGCTCAAACACGCTCGGACTGAACGATCGGAGGTTGCCGTACAAATCGGAAACAAAAACAAAACAAATGGTCGCCTCTATAGTCGCACTAGTGGCATTTACATGCATTGTCTTTTGTGTCGTCGTCGCCGCTGTCGTCATCACTGGTTCCGGTCAGTTTCTCCGTGACCGCTGTATCACGCACCATGTCGTGCACCTGCGAGAACGAACAGAAAGACTGAATATTTGACACAGGTTATCATACTGGTGCATTAATCGGAAGGGAAATAATTTTTGGCAGTCTTGGAAGATGCTTAATTGAATGCCACGAACCTGTGCGATCTTTTTCGAAAATCTATGATTGCAGACCGAATTTTCGGGCACAGCACAAGACTAATTGGAAAAAAATATCACCCATGATTTCCAGGAGGAAAACCGTATCTAACATCTCTTAATTTTATTTAAATATTCTCCACAAAATTACATAAAAATTAATATTTTTTGAGTGGAGAAAATTATCCTTTGAAATTGATTCATACTCCTTGAAATCAACCCTTATACTCCTTGAATATTCGCTCTGGATCAAAATCATTCGGAAGTACAGAAAAGAAAGCCATGAAGTATTCCCAAAATTTTTGTTCGCCTTTCTTCAATTACCGCATTTACTCGCTGTTTTTTTTATTTGCTTGTTAAATACCGTATTCACTCTGAGTAACTCGCGCCCTTGAGCAAAGAGCGCACCAACTTTTTTTATAAAAAAAAATTTCATAAAATTAAACAGTATCTTTGAGTAAGAAGCGCACCCCATTTTAGCAACTTTAAAACTGCAATATTTTAAAGATAGGAGCAACCAAATTTGAATTTAGAACTGAATTTATTCCACATTCAATTAATTTTCAAGTTTCTATTAAAATTTCTATTAAATCTGCTGCGTCATTCACATGAATAATTTTGTTTTCTTTCAAATTTTGTATATTCTCGGTGCGTGCCATACTCAGAACACATGCATTGGAGTTCAATAAAGCACCGTATATTTTAGGGAATAATATGAGTAAAAATATAGATTATATTTCAGCTTACTTAAAACTGGCACACAAAAAAAGTGAAACGAAAACAAATGCAACATAATTGAACTCCATTTTAATGGGTCTACATTTTGAACTTTAGCTTGAATTTCATGAAATATTTTAATTACGCGGGCTCTATCATTTTGTAATAAAATCAAAGAGCCCCTCTCACATGAGGGCGCGTGGTACTCAAATAAATACGGCACTGCGTCACGTCAAAAACGGGTCCACGATCAGCAGTGAAGACCTCACTAAAGAGTCCGTTTACCTTTGGCGATTTGGTTAAAACTGGCGAGGCCTTGGAGTCATCCGGCGACAATCCGTTGCCGTAGGACGACAGGGTCGGCGGCGGGCGGAGATTGACCCGCGAGTAAATCGGGTTCTCGAACGTGTCAAACTTGCGGCCGAGCCCCAACGGGCCACCAGACCCGACCCCGGGATACCTCCGCCGCGACACGAACACAACGACGATCACGGACACGCAAACGAGGATCACGAGGATCCCTGCCCCGGCAGCAACGACGACAACGAGCCACAACGGCAAGCCGAGGACTCGCGTGTTACGAAAGTCCACGCCGCCGACGAGGAACGGATTCGACGAGGAAGAGTCTTCGGAGTCCTTATCTACGATCACGACCTCGAACACGTTCACGATGTCCGTTGCGTTCGTATTCTGCGTCGACGAATTCACGTGGTTCCCAACGGATGTTTCGTTCTCCTCAAAATCGTCCTGAAAAAGAATTCGGGAGAAAGAATGAAATCCATCGCTCTCAAGCGTCACCGCCGCTCTTTCAGATATTTCTGTAGAATCATGCGGGGGATAATGTCTCCTCTAGAATTTTGCAATATCCCTCATGGATTATCTTCCAACATGGAGCACAATTATTTACCAATTAATCCAGGATTGTTTGAAGTTTCAATAAAACATTCAACCTAAGTCTCACGCCTTCAACCATTTTCATGTTAATTATGACAAAATAAGAAGTTAAATTTTAGTTATTTCGGTGGTAGGTTGCTATTTTTCAGATGGGGGCACAATGAGATATACAAGGGTTGTCCTACTTGGGCGCGACCATGGTGATTTTTAGAAAAGGTATGACAGAAGAAGTAAATTACGACTTAGAAAGTTGCGAGGTTCTGTAATTCATTTCCGTGTTTTAAAAATCCTTTTCCATTCACTGCATGATGAAAGGCGAAAAAAGTTACGGCCAGAGTTCTCCACTCATGTCACTGGATGCTAAAACTTTGTCAGGCCCGCTGAAAAATTACATTTTTTCATTGTTTTAACCGCTATAAAAAATTTAAGATGGATAATGGTTAGAGCAACAACAAAATTACATTAAAAATTGCAACTATGAGCTAGCCCAACAAAATGTCAGCACCCCGTGACTTGGGTGGAGAATTCGGGCCGTTAAATGGAAAGTTTTCAAATATTCAGTAAATTGAAAAAAAAGGTTTTCGCAATCTGAAAAAAAAATCCCAGAACCTCAAAACTTCATTGGCTGCATGATGATTTATTTTAAAGCCGTACACACTCCAAAAATAACCAAGGTAGGACAATCCTCGTATTTTTCCTTGTGCCCCCATCGACAAAATTGTAACCTACCACCAAAACAACCAAAATTTGACTTGCACTTGAGTCATAATCGGCATTAGAAGGGGTTTATTGCGTGGTGTTGATTGTTTGGTGAAACTTTGAACATTCCTCGATGAAGTAAAAAACAATTTTTTTTCTCTCTGAAGATAATTCATGTGTGATATTGCAAAATTCTCGAGTAGACATTATCCTCCACATAATCCTACAGAAAATATAGCTCTCGTGGAAGAAACAACATCCAAAAAATCATCCCAACACTCAAACCTGTAACCACGTGTTAAAACGGTCACAGAAAAATTCATACATTCTAATTTCTAGAGAAAAAGAAGCAGCAGAACTAATCGTTGCTGTCAGACCAACCAGAAAAGATGGGTAGTTGTCTCCGGGTTGAAAGTCCGAAGTGCCATTCCACAATCCGCTTCCATCTGCCACCACTTGACCAACTACTCCGTCTTCAGCTTCCCCTTCAGCGACTTCATTGAGTAGACATTCGGGAAACTCCGATTCCCAAGTTCCATTCTCATAACACGCCACGGCACCAGTGGCTTCCGGAGGTAGAGAAAACCTCGGGGCGCAGCTCACAGTAGCCACGACATCCGCATCCGAGCCCTGATCCTCCACGTAAATCATGCCGTTCACTTTCGGCAAGGAACACGAGAAGGATGGACGGGCAGAATAGGTCACGTAAAACCCCAGTCGGGACGAGAACGTTTCCCTCGGGCCGTAATACTCGACCCAAACCCTCGCCGCCGGCACTGTGAGATTCCTCGGCGGCACGACCCCAGTCAGCAAAATCGGGTCCTTGGTGCTTTCAGACTTGACGGAAAGGAAGCTCAGGTCGTCTCCGAGATTCGGCAAGTCAACGTAATGAATGCGCAGTTGCACAAAGCTGCCTTCGGGAGCGCGAAGTTCCCATTTGCAAACTTCCGAACCGCCGGAAACGCTATTGACCTCGTAGCCTGGATTTGATAGAGCCGGCAATGCCCCCGGGGGTCGAATCCTGGTCACTTTCCGGACCAAGAATTTTCCGGGGTCGCATTTGATGAGGCACTTGGGCTGTTCTGCAGACCATTGCGGAATTCCTTCGGATACGATGCATCTGTGGCGATAAAAACCGAAGAGGCATTGTCAAACCAATAAAAGATATTCACAGTACTGCACTGTATTCGAAAGGCACAGAAAAGGCATCCCGAAATTATGAAGGAAACCTGGCTTCTGATCTTTGTCTAGTTTCATTATTGAAATAAAAGGAAGATCAAAGATGACTGTCATTCAGAAGAGATCAAATCGATTAACGGGAAGAAAATAGTTATTTTCGCACGACTTAACCCAAGGTATAACCATCTTTCTGTTTGTTTTAGAATCGGTGTCGACTGAAAATTGGGTATTACCGAAAGGACTAGGTTATTTTCAGTAAACTTCGCTTCTTTTCAATCGGTAATTTGCTCCAGGTGGACTCTCTCCGCAACGATTTTCTCTGCATGAGAAATGTCTGTCTGATCCCTCAGGGTTCCCTGCCCATGTTATAAGAGTCCTCTAAAACGATTTTTTTCTGGTCAATCGAATTTCGTCGCTTGAGAGCCGGTTATTGATTCAGGCGACACCTATTCGACATTTCAGGAATCCACGGGAAAATGCGCAGGAGAAATTTGTTCATCAGAATCGATTTGAAGCTTACCTGAGGAATACAGTCATAGTACAGTACCGGGAATATTGTTCTAAAGCGAGACTCAACTTTGTTTAACGTCGACTGTTTCACACAAAAGAATGAACAAGGATTGAAAATTGCGGGATGAAGCAGAGGCAGTCGATCCATTCAATTAGGCCTCGGACGCATACCAGAAGGATCAAAAGCAGCGATCACTCACCGAGCTTTGGTCGCACCGACAGGATCAAACGGCACTTTGCACTTGAACTCGATCTCGGCGCCGATTTTACTATCCTTCCCCTTGACGTAGCCATTCGGTAACGAGAGCAACGACGGGGCAGGACACGCGTACGGATCAAAAGTTTGATACAGAATCGTAAACTTGGACTCGACTCGTTCAAACGCAAAGTTGACGTCGTTGATCATCACATCGTGGATGTCGATGGTGAGATTCGGACTTCGCATCACCTCGTCGAGGGACTTCTCGCGAACAGCTTGACTCGATGGTGGATTCGCAGTTGATGCATTCAGGCGTCGAACCGGGACCAGTGCAATGCTCAGCTTACTTGTCACAACTTTCGGAAGGCACAGTTCGCAAGAAGTATCGGGTCCGAGTTCGTGACGTTCCCCGTTGAATTCAAGCACCAGTTTTTCCTTCTCGGCCATTTCAACTCGAATGAAGCTGAAGCTCAACTTTTCGTCCCCACTGAAATTCAGTTCAACAATTTCAACTCGAAAAATCATTCCGACGACAACCGAAAACATTTTTTCGGAAAAAACAATGTTTTTCGCCCTCCCGAAAATAGGCCAATTTCAAAATTTCTTGCGGGCGTCAAAGATTGCGAGTCAGAAAATTGAAATATTTTCTCAGTAAACCGCACTCAATCGGTTTCTACAAATCGAACACAAAGAGGCATCTGAAGCAGCAGTCAAGTTCTCAATTGGCGTTCTCAAAATAGAGGAAGACAAAAGAAATTCCAAATTTTCTGTTCCAATATCACGGATCATCTTTTCACTCGGAGTTCGAAATCACAGCTTTTGCATCATTACTCTCCGGTTTACAGCTTAGAACACCTTATAAAACCGTCAAAAAATCTCGACGCATTATTCGTTTCGGCAACACTTGAGACTCACCGAGAAATGAACACTCGACGACAGAGAGGATTCTTTTCGAAGTCATCTGCGGAGATGTACCCTTGCTTCTGGGCCTGAAGAACTTGCTCACAGTCGGCGTTCTCCCCCGCTGCAAGTGCGCAAGCCATCAAAATCCCCAGAACGATCGAACTGCGAATCAAGTGCTGATTCATATCTCACTCCGCGCGTTCCGAACTCGACACGCTTCACAAATCGTGATCACATCACCCAGTGATCAAAAAAACGCGCTTGGCGGATCAACATACCGCGACTTCTGTGGGTAACAATGGAAAAGGTTTTTAAATTTCAAGCACTCACTCTTCACTTCACTCTGTTCTTCGATTCAGCAACTTACGCGGTGTTCAATGTTACCTCTCCGGCACAGCCAATGAACGAATTTAATCCGATGCGCATTCAATCATGGACATACCAACAATTCAGAGGACGTTTTAGAATATTCAACGAAATAAACCTTTGAATTGGAACGATTGTTGAAATTGATTTAGATCTTCCTTGGCGAAACTGCCCCTGCAATACTTCCGCTCTATCTTGGTCCCCTCTGCAGTCAGTTCATATTCAAGCTACAGTACCGAAGCTATGGATGTTTCCGTTTGCTAGGATAGCTTTCATAAAGGTCAGTCAAACAATGTAATGTTAGTTATGGCTCAGACAAAGGATAAGGTTGTTCCAGTGCCAGGTTCGTCTATTTCCATGAGAGGTGAGGTTTTTTTCAAGTAAGGCCTGCTCGGATCTTATTCCTTCTGCGCAACAAGAACCACGGTATTACTTGAGACGGCGGGACAGCCTTCGCAAGGAAGTACTTCGAATGCATTTCAGACGTTCCCAGAACACAAGGATTTTCTTTACACCGTAATGCAGAAACACAGATTGGCTTCATTACACAGCATTTGGGCACTTCTGCAAATGGATCATGAGATTTCCTTCCTTGACAAACCCACGGGAACAGAACTGGCATTGGTAACTCATACTTTCCTGGTGCTTCTTGCTCATGTGCAAGGCCCGGGCAGAGCTCCTACTGAAAACCATATCGCACCCTTGACACGGATACAATTTTTTCGTCATTTGGTCGCCAGCCACTGGTTTAGATTCCAATTCGTTCTCCAAGAAAGTACTGGTTTTCAAGAAGGTGAGCTCATCCTCCGATGACGATGATGAGGTGCGATCATCATCATGATTGTCCTCTTGCGGAGTAGCCAGGGTGTAGCACGTGAGCCAGGTTTGTTCATCGAAATCAGAGGTATGGGAATAGAAATGCATGCTGGATTCCCGCTTGGATCTCGTTTCGAAGTGACAAACTGTGCACGGAATCGATTCGTCCTCCAATTCAGATTCTGACGAAGACGACAGCGTTTCTTCAAACAATTTCGTCGGGAGCGGAGGTACAACATCGGAATCATTTTTCCGTTGCTTCGACATCACCGAAGAAGCGGGTTTTTGGCGCTTGACTGGAGCTGGTCGCTGTTGGATCGGCGAATTCTGAACACGCTTGGAATGAAGCTCCTTATTGTGGAGATCGAAGTCTTGCTTTCGTAAAAATCCAGCCATACACGTAGGACAGAAGTAACTGACGTTCACCGGAACCGCCTTGTGCGCAGCTTTCATGTGCTTGTTCCGGGTTTGCACGGATTTATACACTCGGTTGCACATGTTACACGGATACGTGACACCATTTGCTGAGACTCGCGGTTCAGAATTAGAACGTTTTCCATCCCCCATGTCAGGAACACTCCCATTGATTCCTTCAAGGTTGACATCCTCATTCGGCTCGTGGAAATGTTCATTTTCCGAGTCATCGTTTACATCCTCGTTGTTGGCGATAACGAGTTTCGGACTGTTGCCATCCGAATGTGAGTCAGCGTCTGAATCACCATCACTCGAGTCGGTTACTGATTCCTCATCGGCACTTTTAGGATCCTGAGCTGATTCTACTTTGGAACTTGAGCGGTCTGAACCGCTCACAGAAACGAAATTCCCATTCGTCACTGGATGATTTTCACGGTTCACGTCCGAGCTTTCTGCTTCAACGATTTCTTCGTTCATAGATTCATCAGTGTCGGATGAGCTGGACAAAGAAGACGAGTCAGAATCACTGTCACTGTCGTCGCCAGAATCCGAACTTTCGTCTGAGCTGGAGATCGATCCGTTGACAGTAATCGATTCCTGTTCACCACTACCGTTCGCACTCATGATTTTTTTTCGATCGGCCTGGAAAATAATACGGGCAGTACAGGTAGGTCACTGATTACTGTGCGAGTACAGGATTTTAGAAGTCAAGAATTGCACAAACCGAAGAACTTCAACGAACAAATATTGTAATCACAGCGGTCAAAACTCGTGAATTTCTCGGAATACAGACGCGTGAGCATCAACGCGCATGATCTGAATACAGTACAAAATTAGACATACGACTGTCCTTCCAACAAGTCGCTTTGTTCATGGCACGCAATTTCACACAAAAACTAAACGCTTGAAACAACACAATGCCGAGATCACTTGCGCAGATGAATGAGAGCAGCTCGATGCGCGAATAAAAAAAAAAAATCAGTACAGGCAGTGAACAAAAACGTTGCTTCAGATCAAAAATTTCTTTAAAAAAGTTAGCCGAAAAACAGTATTTTTCAACGTTATAAATGCGTAAAGATTCTCACGAGCTGAAGAGCATTACGTCGAGTATTGTTCTTGACATGAAATCGAACTCATGGACTTGATCAACGATCAAATGCCACACTGCAAATTTTTTCGACATTCGATAGAGTTTGAACATAACAACGATTGAACGAATAGCAAAAAATTGAACAGATTCAATATATGAAAGAAATATGGTATTAGAACATTGATTAGCGATTAAAGAATAATACAGAATTTTTTTTTTGGCTGTTTCTTACTGACCTCGTCAAAGATCAGAGGGAGAAATTCACGTTCAAAAAGCCGCTGCTTTTTCAAGCGCGCTCCTTGAGCATAGCAAGGTTATCCTTGGCAGATCGAAATTCGGGCTCCAAAGCCAGGGCCTTCAAATAACTTTGTTCCGCCTCTCTGAACTTTTTCCAACGATGATACAATACCCCTAAATTGGAATAAAAGGCGGCAGTTCTTGGTTCGAGCTCCACGGCCCGCAGAAAATGTTTCTCAGATTCCTCGAATTCGCCGACTTTTCCCAAGCAATTAGCGAGGTTGAAATGTAATCCCGCGTTATCTGGTAACTGTTCTAGTCCAGCTCTCGCCACTGACTTGGCAGCTTCCACGTCGCCCCGGGCGTCTAATAGGATCACGATGTTGATCCACGCAAGTGCGTGCGTGGGTTTCAATTCGATCGCTCTCGACCACGCTTGTAAAGCTTCGTCTCTTTTATCCAAACCAACAAACTGCAAAATAGCAAAAAGTTTTCGATTTATTTTTGATCAGAAAAAGTTGCAACGTTAATACAATTTTGACTACAGTGTATTCTAACGATTACACGCAGATGGCATATTCAAATGAAGTCTTGGTACACATGACGTCTTACCTACGGTCCCAAGAGGTCTACAGTACAAGGGTTGGTTCGTAAAAGATGATGAACAACCAAATGCCGTCATCAGAGGCGGATGCAAGTTTTTCTTTTGCTCCTCAATCCTTCATTGGTGGCTAATAAATGTTTCATCCACTACTCAGCTACAGATGGAAACAAGAGAAAGACCTCACAGTCAATGCTCTCCACTGAAGTGAAGTTTAATGGATCAAGAGGAGCAGCGCACTTGCATGCTCTTCAATCAATATTGATCCAATAAACTTCACTCAAGTGGAGAGCATTGACTGTAAGGTATTCTTGTTTGTAGCTGAGCAGTGGATGAAACATTTCTTCGACACCAATTGCGTCCGCCTCCGATGACGGCATTTGGTTGTTTATAATATTTTATGAATGAATCGTCCAATATGCTAAGCATTTCCTGACACGTTCGTTAAAAAATGCAAATTAACCTTCTCAATTACTCACTTTGTCCCTACCATATTTACTCCAAGATTAAATCAGAAATATTCACTCTACAAGTTCTCATGACATGATCTGAAACCAAGACGCTTTGTGACTGCCTGCGACATCTTTCGACAGAAAGACTTTTCGCTGGACCATCCACAGAACAGGACAATTTATTCGATTAATGTGTTAAATAATTCCTCAACCCTTATTGAAAGCTATGCTCTACAGGTGCCAAATTAGTAATACACGCTTCGAACTTCAAAAACTCAAAACTTTCCAACTTTTTATGTCAATTTTTCACGTACATGTCTGAATTCCCACAGAAACCATGCATTAAACCCCTCCCATCAAATTTCCATAGATAGAATTTTCTGGAGGTCTTTTGGCTATCATTTCCTCAACACAGGAAAGAGACTTGATCAAGGTTGAGAAGGAAGTTCAAGACTAATTGGGCAAATGAACTTTTGCATGCAAGTTCATCATCCCATCAACTCATTTCAGAAGCAATTTATGGCCCAGAAAATCACCAATTAATCTTTCTTGCAATTCTTCTACCTTTCACAACCAACATAAATGCTTTTTTCCCCAACTCGATTTTTTTTCGAGGTCCGTCGAAGTTCGACTTAGAACGGCTTGACTTCACAGTATTATGAACTCACCAAATTTCCGAAATTATAATAACAGTCCGGGTATCTGGGACGAAGCTCCAAAGCGCGTTCATAGGCAAACCTAGCTCGATCGTACTGCTTCAAATCCGCCAAAACAATCCCGAGATTCATCCAAGCAGCTGCAAAATCCGGTCTAACAGCGGTCGCGTTCTCCAGAAGTCCCAAGGCATCTTCCAGTTGCCCCCGGGCTTTCAATAAATTCGCCAGATTGTTCATAGCCTGGTCATAGACTGGATTCAGTCCGAGTGCTTTGCGGTAATGCTCAATCGCTAATTCCGCATTTCCGGAATCCGCCGCGTGCTTCGCAACGTTGTAATGAACCTTCGCATTATTCGGACACACGGACAATCCAGATGTGAACAAGGTTTTCTCGTTGGACCAATCGCCGTTTCTTCGAGCGCATCTCGCAGCGAAAATTACCAGGAGACTAACAGCGAGTGATCTCACAAAAAACTGCATAACTCGAGACTTTTCAACGAGCAAGGCCAGTCGACGAAGCCCCACGGTGAGGATTATGCAGTATCCCAGAGACGGCAAGTACAGTACTCTTTCCGCTATCACAAATCCCACGGTAAAAAATATATTCGCTGCTGGAAGGAATGGAATGAAAAGCCACACCAGACCCACCAGGATCAACCTGCGAAATCAAAAATACGCATATAAGGATGAGAGTGAAATTACAATCATCCTATATATTTCTGTGGAAGGCTTCTTCTATTAAATTTGTACAAAATGAACCCGGGCTTTTCCAAAATGTTTGCAGTCTTGCGACTCCCTTGTTAGACGGATGGAGATTAACAGTACGAGAAATAACATTTAATTTTCTGCGGAGTGTTCCTTTACTTTATGAAAATATATACTGTACTGTTATCATTTTCTCAGGAAAAACAAATACTGTAGCATCATTTTCGAAATGTCAACCTAATTTTAAGTTTAAACGATTTTCGAGAGCAGGATCATTAATTTAGACAACTTTGAAAAATACCAACACATCCAAGTTTTGGTTTAATATTTTTCTCAATGGTGAATTAAAAAAAAAAATCTCGGTATATCGACATTCTTCCTTAAATTTTAGTAAAATGCTCATCTAGTTGCACATTCAAAATATATATTGTACTACAAATTTGTCTTTCTATCCTTTCAATTCAAAAGGCAGCAGGAAATCCAGTTTCTCTCTCATCTCAACACGGCTGTTAATTAATTACTGTATCAGAAAAATTGTAGCGCAATTGCATTCCATTTCTACAAGAAATCTTTGTGGCAATTGCAATCGCTATTTCACCTGAATATACAAGATTTCAAACCTAGCACCATTAGATTAACATCTTCTGAATATTACCATAAGCGAGAAATAAATAGTTCTTCTCCAAACTGACTTCGTACAAACCTCGGAAGTACAGTGCAACTGACCAGAAACTTGAAATCTCGTACTACATTTAAGCAATCATTTCATCCTATTCTTTCTTAGGTACTCCTCGCTGACAATGAGAATCCTTCAGCAATTAAAGCTCACCTTGCGTCATCGCGCTGAGCTTCTCTGTCCTTTTTCGAGCCTTCAACCTGGAACACTCGCGGAAAAGCTCCCACCATTCCTCGACCGACAATGCCCAGGAGGAAGACCCAAAACACAAACACAGCCAGAACACGGGGGTCCCTGTAATCAGAGACCAACGGCACACATCCCATAGACCAGTCGAAGCACAACCAGACCGGCAAAATCATGATCCACGCATTGAGGGCGAACAGGTAATTTCTGGACAGGAATCGCGTGATCAGAGAATCCGCAAAAGCAGCAGGGTTATCTTCCGGTTGGAAAATCGGGGGAGATGATCCCATGATAGTCCATCGCAGATAAAGCAGGAACACGCAAAGGAAACTCAACACCGTCAGCCGCTCTTTGACAGCGTCCATTTTAACATGACTTCGTCCTCCATTCAAGGTTAGGCCGACCAAGTCAAGGGCAAAACACAGCAACTGGAACAACAACAAAAAATTACCTAAAACAAGTAGAACACGCCAGGAGTTGACATTTTATCGCGAAGAAGTCAATCGTGAAAAGAATGGATTCTTCACGCAGATTTCATCTACTTGAGCAAAGAGTTCAGGAAATGATAAATTCCAGGAAGTACAGTAGGGCCCCGAAATACGGACGTGATTTGGGCTTGGATCTTGACCCAAAGAAAGCACGTCCACAGGTTCAATCACATTTCCACATAGACACCAATGGGCACACGTTTAATTGGTTTTTCTGTTCATCAAAAATTTGGAAAAAGTCTTTCACAAATTTATTTATCTACTTTCAATATGCAGAAGATAGCTATTGAAGAAAATCACTCTAATATGCCCTTTTAACATTAAAATGCGCCTAAAAAAGCAAAAAACAAGCAAAAGTCTTTTTATCCACTGCACAGGTGATGGATAAAAGCTCTGAATACAGCATAAAATTAACCTTTTTGCATTATGAATAAAAATAAAATTAGTCATAAAATTAATCTTCAATTTTTGTGAATACACATAGCTCAATTTGTTTAGAAGATGCTAAAATTTTGGAAAATTTCAATCTTCCGAGAAATGCTGGCCAAGTGTTTATAACCTCAAGACGTTGTTTAGACGTTGGAGAATATTTTGGTTATTTTTCAAATGGCATCAAGGCTGCTTTGAATTATGAATTAGAGTAACAAGAAATCGTAATAAAATTTAATTGCATTTTTGTGAATAAAGTATAATCATCACAACTTGCTCAAAAAACATGACATTTTGGAAAATATTTAAAAATTCTATTTTTATAGAATTTTCGGTGAAGTGTCCGTATTTTCAGACATTATCCGAATTTTGGAGCTGATTTTTCATAAATTTCAAGTGGCCGTAAGTCGAAATAACTGTCAATTTGGTTGTCCGTACATCGGGGCCCCGCTGTACAGGTGGAATTCGAATAGCGTTTCGTCTGACAAGAACTCACCAGTACAGTGATGCCGTACTCTTTGCAAAGCATGGAAACAGTCGAGAAAAACATGACGCCGGCAGCAAATGCCCACCACTCCCTCGTTCCAATCTGGGAGTGGGCCCATTTGGCATGTAGAAACAAGCACACGAGATAAAACGCAGAGCACAGTAGATCCGCCCGCCCAACTAGTCCAGAAACTGCTTAAGATCACGATTTGATGAATCAGGAAGGAGACCAAAGCGTGCAGGCTCACGTTTGTGACATGGAAAGCAGCAGGCTTTTGTCCTCCAACTAGCCATTCGTTTAATCTAAACAATCAAAATTGCAATCAAACATTAAATCACGCGAATATTCCGGTTTCATCGCGAATACAGTAGTGTAGGAAAAAAAGTCAGACAACATATTTTCATTACTTTCAGTTAGACAAGTTGCGAAACTTCCATGTCCCGAAAAACGGCACAGTCCGAAGACATAAGAAAAAGGTTCTTGTCAATTCAACGATGGAAGTCACAGATTCCGTTAGATTCTTCGCCATAATTTAAATTTCATCTGCATTTTTACGTGGTTCACTTGGTTTACGTCAGCTTAGCTGTTATATTTCGGTCGGGTTAGACGTTCCAAAAAGTAAAAATTGGACATTCTATTGCGAAAAACCCCCAAGAAAAAGTTCAGATGTTCCAGAGAAACGTCCGAAAGAATAAATTCACGCGAAATAACTCTTCATTCCTCCAGATTCTAGAATAAACGATATTCAGGCGGTGTCAGCATAACCTGTGTTTTTGCAACTTCAAAATTTTTGAAGCAATTTCGCAAAGAAAAATATTGTCTGCATCTACACAAAAAGAAGGAATACCGTTTTTACGAGATGCTCGAGATATTTACTGAAGGGGATTTTACCTTTTCTGGGGAGAATTTACTCAGAACTTTTAGGTTCCAGAAAAGTCAGAAAACCAGGAATGCAAGTGGGTGCTGATATTCGCATAAATACGGTTTTTCATACAATTATACAGTTGCAACGGATTCCATTGAAGTACTTTATAAAAAAGAGAAAAATTAAAATCACACGCCGGAATATTCAAAAAGAGATCTCCAAAAAGTCGGGTAAACTAACCTGAATGTGAGAACAGTGAGCGGTCTGTATGATTTGTGGCTGATGTTGGATGTGAGACGGTGACCCCAGAAGTCATTGATAAATACGTTCGCAATCGGAGAATCCGGACGCACATCCGCATTGTTCACAATGGCTTCCGTGTCATCGAAAACAAAATCGCCGCCGATGCTGTTCAAGAAACATAAAATCGCTGCCATCGTCACGATAGCGGCGCATTTCGTTTCTCCGTCTCTCTTTAATGACGATCGACATTTTCGCATAACTGAACACCTGTAACTAATTAAATAAATAAAAATATTAAAAGCTACCGACAGACGATGCATGAGAAATCATTTCGAACCGATCTCGCTTCACAGCCGAAATTCAACGCACTCTTCATTCAAATGAACTTCACGATCTTTGATCATATTCCTGCACACACAAAAAGTAAAAAAGTAAATTAAAGGAGTTCAAAAAATCCAGAACAAATTTCAAAGCGTCACTAAAATCATCACTAAAAGTACTAAAACATGATCACAGTTTTTTCGAGAAAATTTCAACAATTTCGGCAACAGTTTCAGCCAATTCCTCCTTCTTCAGCTGACAAATGATTTCTTCAAGCCCGGTTCCTCGACTCAAGAAACTACTCACACCGAAGGCAGAAAAACCTATTCGGTGGTCCGTGATTCGGTCTTGGTGAAAGTTGTACGTTCTAATCTTTTCANGTAAACTAACCTGAATGTGAGAACAGTGAGCGGTCTGTATGATTTGTGGCTGATGTTGGATGTGAGACGGTGACCCCAGAAGTCATTGATAAATACGTTCGCAATCGGAGAATCCGGACGCACATCCGCATTGTTCACAATGGCTTCCGTGTCATCGAAAACAAAATCGCCGCCGATGCTGTTCAAAAAACATAAAATCGCTGCCATCGTCACGATAGCGGCGCATTTCGTTTCTCCGTCTCTCTTTAATGACGATCGACATTTTCGCATAACTGAACACCTGTAACTAATTAAATAAATAAAAATATTAAAAGCTACCGACAGACGATGCATGAGAAATCATTTCGAACCGATCTCGTTTCACAGCCGAAATTCAACGCACTCTTCATTCAAATGAACTTCACGATCTTTGATCATATTCCTGCACACACAAAAAGTAAGAAAGTAAATTAAAGGAGTTCAATAAATTCAGAACAAATTTCAAAGCGTCACTAAAATCATCACTAAAAGTACTAAAACATGATCACAGTTTTTTCGAGAAAATTTCAACAATTTCGGCAACAGTTTCAGCCAATTCCTCCTTCTTCAGCTGACAAATGATTTCTTCAAGCCCGGTTCCTCGACTCAAGAAACTACTCACACCGAAGGCAGAAAAACCTATTCGGTGGTCCGTGATTCGGTCTTGGTGAAAGTTGTACGTTCTAATCTTTTCAGACCTGGCTTTAGTTCCCACCTGAGGAAATTCGATTCAAACGATAAGATTCCGACGAAGTATTCCAGATTTTCTTTGAATTCCAAACCTGAATTTTCCGCGTCGAAGAGACGTGAGAGGCTTTGCTGTCAATTTGCAACTGATTAAGCTTCGCAGAAAGAACACGGAGGGCTTTCGCTTTATTTTGATGCTGGCTCCGCTGTTCCTGACATTCAACAGCGATTCCTGAAATCGTTGTTCAACATTCACCCATCGATTTACTTCTCAAACATGGAATCAATTGTCACCGTACCTGTAGGTAAATGCGTCAGTCGCACTTTGCTGTCTGTACGATTGACATGTTGACCACCTGCTCCAGAAGACCGCATAGTTTCCACTTTCAAGTCTTTGGGATCGATACTAACTTCAACTTGCTGTAAAAACGAAAAAAATTTCAAATTGGCACCTAAAATACAATCAACTTCTTTGAAACGTCACTCACATCGGCAAAAACAGGCAATATGGCTACGGAGACAGTGGATGTGTGAACACGGCCAGATTTCTCCGTCGCCGGAACTCTTTGCACGCGATGAATTCCCCCTTCATACTTGAACACGTTGTACGCTCCTGGCCCTCGGATTTCAGCAATGCCACTACGAAGTCCACCTGTTTGAAAAGAACAAAAAGGAAAAGCATAAAAGAGTAGAATTCGATGGTAAAATGACTAAAATCACATGGAGGAAAGGAAAATGATGAAAGAGCAAGTTTACTCAAATTTAGTCCACGGATTCATCATTACAGCGTGGCTTAACGCTGTTCTTCGTTAATGTGAGTAAAAATAGAAAAGCGGGGGTACATGTCAGATTATTCATCAAGAAAATGGACGCCCACACATAATAATAATATAAATAACAAGGGTAAAACTTATTTACCACCCATTCCTTCTCGGTACACTCGAAAAAATAACTGGCATCATATAAAAATTGTGAAGCACAAAATAATTGCGGCGCTGGAAAGTGTATGATTTACGAACAGCACGGCGAAATAATTTATCGATTTAGACAATAGAGTACAGTATTACAAAATCCCCACTGGATAAATTGTATTCACTGGAAGCAATGCTGACTCGATGGATACCTGTGTTTATGTTCTCTTCTTTGAATCGGGCTTCCCCGCGGGGAAGGAAACACGCTTGGCGGAGTCTTCTCATTTTAATTTTTCCAAACAAACGTTGAATACAACAAATAGTGAGTTGAAAATTGTCATTCCTTCTTTTTGCCGTCTTAAATTAAAGGCATACCGGTAATAACTCACCAATATCCGAATTATCTTTCGCATTGATTTCCACGCTCCAACCACGACTCTCGGCGAACGTTTGGTACATCTCGAAAATCTCGCCCGCGAAAAGCATGGCCTCTTGACCACCTACTCCCGCGGACACTTCCAACAAGATTTCATCCGTGTCTGCTGTTTTGCAGAAGGTCAAAATTTCTAAAGCCTGAAGCATAAACGGGGTCATGAAATTTGAATATAGAGAAAAGTCTCAATCAAGTGATTGTACCTGCCTCGTAAGTTCTTCGCCGCGAAGTTTTAGGTTGTTCCTGTCCTCTTCGGCCAGTTTCCTGAGCTCCGCATCGCTGTCTAGTAAAAATCAAAAGGCCAATAAATAACGGTTTTTTGGCTTCCGCTCATTCGGTAGCACGATTTACAGGAATGTCCCCATGGCTTCGCCAAATTCGCAATTCAGATGATAAAAAATGTTATGAATCGGAAATGAATCCGAAATAACCTGATTTTGATGCAAGCAGAATTTCCCTAACCGAATTGCTGTACAATCAGTCAGTCATTGATGATATTTGAATTAAATTCCACTCCAGTAAGATTTAGAAAATTTTTCAACGTTCATACTGTATTCTGAGAGCTGGTATTCTAGGGATAACATCATTCCAGCTTCAATATCGAGAAAAATCTAGTTAAAAATTAATTTAGTCAGGAAATGTATTTTTTATGGCTTTTCCTGTGATCAAATAAGATCCGCGGAAGCCGGGAGAAAATCTTGGGAATAAAAATTAGCCAACCACAAGAAATTCATAAACGCATTTTACAACACTCACCTTCGCCAATGAGTTCCTCCAACGAGTTCATGTCATTCTTGAGAGCCAGGTACTGATCGAGGACATTTCTCATCTCGAGCCAACGTCTCGAGTCCACTTTACCATGTATTTTCTTCTCAACTATTGCTTTAGCATCGACCCACTGATCATCGTTCTTCACATTCGTCAGCGAGTCTAAAAGCGAGTAGGAACGTCGAGCGCTGATCAGAGAACCGATCCTCCTTCGAGGAAATAATACCCGCGAAAGTATCATCTGCGTAAAACGACAGGTGGAAAAAAAGCGACGGTTTTGAATTTCAGAGAAAAGTTTCAAGACTCTTTCTTATTCTTAATCTTAACACCCTTTCTCATGGGAATGTTGTCACACAGACTGTCTTCCCACGATTTCCCTTCGGTCCGGTCAAGGAGAATACAGAAAACGTGGAAATGACTGAGGACTTGTCGTGTCTTCATGTCCACGTGCTCGTTTATAGGTAAACGAGCGTGACAGTAACCGTACTTCTCGGCTCTCTGCAAACTCTCTCCCTTTCTGTGGTTGTGGTCGACGAATGCCCCGATTGCATAAACCTTTGTTTCATTCAGCGACTCAAGCACGTTCTCCGACTCCGAGGTAAGATATACGACGTCATTCGGCGGGAAAATTTCGTGGAGCGGATTCAATTCCACGTGCAGGTCCCACGCCTCAAAACCTGCGAAGATTTCATATTTGAACGCTTATTGAGGAAAACCGAAGCTCCACAACAGATGGCTATCAGAAGGGCCTCTTCAATAAGTCACACCCACCACAATGGGATTCTGGGATGGTCAATGAAGCCATCAATTTCTATCTTTGGGAACAGATGCGGAAATTAGGCAGAGAAAGGACTTTATCGAGGTCGCACGTGCCAGTGCAATCCCCGAAGTGCTCATCGCCATTAAAAACGAAGCTCCCACACGATGTCTAATTTTTTTTTGTTGCGAAAAAGTCAACATCCCAATCTATAGGGAAAAGCTAGGAGTCGTACTGTACATAAAATAGTCTAGTAGGTATAAAATGTTGCTGAAAGCAGAAAATAAATCAAAATTTTGTTCTTATTCAAAGAAAATTCTATTTATAACACAAACAAACCCTCTTCGGGATTCATCCGCATCTAGGAAGACCTCTCAAAAAGCTCAAAGCATACAGATGGTATTTGAGGTGACGGAGTTAAATTTAAAATATTAATGATTGCCAGCGACATCTACACACACACAATTAATTTGTCATGGTACTGGACAGAAATTCATCAGAAAAGTACTGTGGTCTGAAATACTTCCGCAGGAAATCGCAGCACTGAAAATGACCACCAGTTGCTCACAATTTTAATTCAAGTATTTTGATGTTTTTACAATCCTTGAGAATACAGTGGGTCCTTGAGGAATAAACGCGCTAAGCGACGAACATCTTACATGACAAACCCAGGTTCATACACCAATTTGCCGCAAGTAATCAATTTGATTTCAGAACAAACCACAAGCTAAGCAAAAAATATATACGCAACTATATACGGTATATACAGTATATTATAACTTTTTTTATCATAGTAAACAATTTTTCATGAATAATTTTTTTACAGATGTTAAAAATGAAGACAATTTTATGTCATTATGATAATACACAAGTATTCCTAGACGGTAAAATTTCTGAATGAAAATGTAATTCAAGCGGAAATTGACATCAAGACAGAATTTTAAATTCCTTCGTCATTATAATTTGTTTTGTTTCAATAATGCTCACTTAAAATGTATTAGCAACCATTTTTGTATTCTTTTCAGTTACCTTTTTCAATTTGGTAAGCTGATTTTCTTTATTTTACCTTGATAATTTTTTTGTGCTCTGGAACTAATTGAACAATGGAAATCATGAAGAATGCTTTGAGCAACCAACCATTCACCGGGGCGGATAATGTTTGTTGCTCAAGGCCTCACTGCATCCCCTTCGAACACATATCTTGATCATTACTCAATAATCATCACTGAAATTTTTTTCAATTTCGCGAATGAAAAATTGGGCTAGTTCTTTCTTTCCTCGGAATTAAAACGTGTCATTCGATGACACTCGCAAAACATTGCTGATTTACAGTTTTAGACATTTAGAGCATTTGCTAGATTGCATTCGGCTCAAGTTTTTCAAAACAGATGGTTCGCACTGCCAGTGACTTTTCGACAGCCTGTATAATTTCATAAAACAGAGGCACTCACCAGATTGCTTTTCACAGCGCTGGCGACTATTTCCATTCAGGTGAGTGAAATACAGCTGCAAAGGATTTTTAGCTCGGCGATTCGAACTATAGCACCGCATGGCTTGCTTGAAAGCCTGGTTAATCTCAACCTCGCTCATGATATCATCATACGCAAAATCCAGCGCGACTCTGATCTTACAACTCGATTCCCGCATGCTTCTCACTAACACTTTCTCGGGTCGTTGTTCAATCGGTAGTTTTCTTCTCTGCTTCCTCTTTTCTCGCTCTTGCTTGCGTCTTTCCGGCAAGCTCTCCAGGTAAGCCTGTTTCTTCGCGAGCTTCTTCCGCTGACGTTTGGACATCTCGGAAGCTTTACTCTCAATCGAATCCTTCTCGACGATAATCCCATCTGAAGACTTGTCCTCTCCGGATGATTCGTCTTGCTCTTTCGATACAACATTGTTTTTAAGATCGCTGAAAGTTGCAGGCTCAGAAAGACACTCTGGATTTCCTGGAGTCACGGGATCACATTTTTCGCGGAGATCGTCTTCCGTAACATCGACATGGCACTTCAAGCGCTTCGCGGGACAAATGGTTTCACTCATTCCAAACAAGCCCTGGAAGTGGAAAACCTACAAAAAATAAGCACGAATAAATTACTGCACTCTCTGTTTTATGAGGAGAGAAGAAAATGGAAATGCGAACACGAAATTGGGGCTTCCATTCACCAACCCCGTGTCCAATAAATCTTTGCCGTATTGCAAGCGCTTTCGTGGCGAGAAATTCAACACACACAGTTAAGATGCCGTACGGGAAATTTTCTACGATTGTACCAATAGTCGAAAGAAAATATATCACTGTAGCACCCTTCAATAATGGTTCCAGGCGAAAGGACGCTCGCGGGTTCAGCATTAAATACGGGACGTCCTCGTTCACGATCCACAAGTAATGTAACACAATCAATTGCAAATTAATTAAATCTGATTGACGCAGGGATCACCAGCTTGCCTAAACGTAATCATCGTCGGCGTAAGCTTTTTTCGAAGAAAACCCGTCATCACCTCGGGCTCCTGGCTCGACGTCTTGGTCACCGAAAGACCCGTCACCAGTCAATTCCACCAAAACAGAGCATGGAGAACCGACGATTTCTTCGTACTTCTTTTTGGCGGCCGAGAGAACTTCTTCGTACAAGAAGTCAACGTTCTTTTCAATCGTTTCCTACAAATATAACAAAATATGTAAAACCCAAGGTGAAAAAACGTGGATTTTGAATTTATCCATGTGCACACGACGGTACGGTATTTCCAAAACTCGGAGAAAATTTATTTTTTGAGCACCTTCAGCCTTGGTAAAAAAAACTGTACGCGTTATTTCTTCAACATGAAAACAATTTGACGGATCGGTGGATTCAAACAAATTAAATATCAGCTCAACAAATTACGGGATTTCCATTGATACTTAATTCGAACTTACGGAACTCGCACTTCAAGTAAAAAAAATAAGAGCAACCGAATTTTACTTTCCATACTCACAAGAATAGCAGGATTATTTCCAGCACGATCCAGCGCTTTGCGATACGCCGTGATTTGTTCAGCAAAGACTGTTCCGATTGCGGATCCACCCGAAGTAACCAACTCGGTGCAACTAACCTTGGCAACGTCAGTGACGAACAAAAGAAACGCCTGCGCGAAGTCAATCGTCGCGCTACTCAAGGAGACGAATACTTTGTCTACGGGATTGGAAAACTAAGTAGTTACAATTTCAACGGCACTTCAAAATTTTCACCGTATCTCACCATAAACATAAATTTCCGGCTCCACGATTCCCAAGCTCCTCATGGTATCAATCCACTTTAGTCTACGGGATTGGAAAACTAAGTAGTTACAATTTCAACGGCACTTCAAAATTTTCACCGTATCTCACCATAAACATAAATTTCCGGCTCCACGATTCCCAAGCTCCTCATGGTATCAATCCACTTTTTGGCATTCAACTCGTTGTGCAGGTTTGTCGGCTGCCACTGCGGCGCTGAATCAACTGAAATACAAACACAGAAAATAAATGTAATTTCGTGAATGATTATAACTTGTTACGCATCGTTGAACTTCAAGTCAAACCTCTCAAAGTAAAATACAGTACCTCCCTCTGCCGAATATTTTTCAAGTCCCTGTCTGAATTCTCTTGGAAACGATGCATTAAAAAGCCCTCATCTCGAAGACTTTCATTTCGAAGCTCCATCACTCGAATTTTTTGAAGCCCTCTTGACTGAAGAATTAACATGTAACTTATGCAGTTTGGAAGGACATGAAAGATTAATTGGACAAATGAACCCTTGCATCCAAGTGCAGCATCCTATCAACTCATTCAAAAAGTAATTCAAGACCCAGAATATCACTCAATACAATTTCCTGTAATTATCTCTTCTTTACGCCCCAACAAAAACGCCTGTTTCTCTTAACTCGGAACCTCCAAAACTCGAATTTTTTTTGCCAGTCTGTTGAAGTTGGACTTGAAGACGTTTGAGTGCAATATCAAATATCAATATCCGTGGTACATTAAAATCCTTAATCCTGCGAATAATCAACGGGAGAAATTTCTAAGCACTGAGGAGAAGAAAAAATTTATAAAATTACCGCTATCCAGCAAATCTTTCCTTTTTCACACAGCTTCGATTTTATTTCATTTTCCCCCCAAGTTTATCAGCATCAAGGAACCAAAATGAACAATCACCCTCAACGTCACCAACAGAAAGGTTTCAGCAAATTCCGTGAACTGTAACTGGGACTCTGGGAGTTCTAATTTTTCTCAACCATATGACAGATATCCTTTCAGTTCCGCGTCGAAAAGAAATAAGACAACGCCCTCTTATCCGGGAAGTAACTACTAACCATGACATCAGAGCGACATGATGAGATCATCACCAATCCAACATGACTCACGCGATTTTTTTAAATAAATGAAACCCGTCATTCACTCACGCGGTTTGCCAGAAGCAGCTTCTCGTTCCGGAATTCTCCAACGCCCACGGATCGACTCCAGCAGAGTATCTCGACTCGAGTTAATTAGAGAATTGAGCTGCGCACGCAAGGCTCTTTCCACTGTCAGGGTTACATCGATTCCAACATCCCACAACTGTTGAAATACAGTACGTGCACGGAACAGAAACAGGTGACATGAAATATTTTCACACGATACGATTCCATAATATCTACAGCAATTTACAAAGCATTGGAAATTAAAGCATGGTCATAAACTAGCTTTGGACTTAACATAAAAAAAACTACATCGCAGTTAAATTCGAAGTTTCGCCTTTAAATATATTGTAGATGGAATATTTCTGCAACGATTGTCAGTACTGAATACGAGTTTTTTTGTGTAATAGGGAGCTCTCCCAATTTTATAATAGTCCTTTACGACAAAATTCTCTTTAAAACGAATTTTTTTAGGTCCCTTGGATTTCGTTGCAGAGAGTTCACCCGTACACAATCATTTACGAGGAAATGATGACGGCTTAATACTGCATTACTTCACCTGCATTAATGAAAAGTGATACTACTCCTACCTTTTCTTAAATAATCCACATACGATAAGAAAACACAATGCAGTTCCTTAAATAAATATGCTTGTCTTGTGTATGACTGCATTCGTAAAACTCAAGAAAGCAGCTTTTGACCCCGGGGATGATGCATTATCCCACGATAAAAAACCCCTATTTTTTTTTAAAAGACTATAAAACTTTAACCTGCCACGATAGGGAGCCCCAGAAATGTGATTTGATCTTCAAGGAAAACTATTTGAAATTTTACAAATTCTTCGGAAAATGTTCCCAGAGTTATAATATACGGTTACGACACCAGAATATAACGGGAATACTATTTCGTAGATTATGAATGCTGGAAGCTACCTGGAAGGACAGCTAGAAGTGAGAACTTTCAAACGTTATCGTGAATACTTTTTCATTCCCTTCCTCCTTAGTTTAAGGATCGTGGCGATTCGAAAAAAATACAGCACACTGAACGAAGTTACGATGCGCATAAATTACGGTCTGTGTTTCAAAAATGCTTTCATCTTTTTTAAATTGCAGTTCACGAATGGGGTCAGGATTTTCTTCGTCATCCTAATGATAAAATTCCTTGATTTTCATCGAGCAAAACCAAAAATCACCAATCGAAAACGAAATTCGTGATTAAATAATAGCAAAGACAAAATAGAACTCATCTCACCAGTTTGCTGTATTTTCTAACTGCCATGATGCAGTCACTCAGAGACGAGATACTCGGACATACGACGCACACAGTTTCAAACGATTTGAGAACTTGTAACGTCTAAGGCACACAGAAAATAAAAAATATAACCTTTCATTACAAGCATTCCCGACTGCAGTACTTACCTCCTGTTGAACCCAGTCAACGAGAATAGAAAAGCAACACGGATAAGCAGCAAATGTGGTCTGGAAGTCTTCAGCTGTTTGTAAGGCACTTTGAAAAAAGCTCTGCGCGGTTCCTTGTAAATACGAAAATATTTCTTCCCCCAAACGGTGTTCACGCCGTTCCTGTCGCAGAATTGCGCTCCGATGCGCAAGATATAATTGTGCAGCCTAAACATCGAGGTACGACACAAAACTAATTTCTTCAAAATTTCGAAAACGAAAAAAAAAAATAGATAAAATTTCTTCAATTTAAAAAATTATAATAATACAATAATGTATTCACTCAAGTACCACATGACCTTGAGTAAGAAGCACACCAGAGGTTTTCAGCCGAAAATTTTGATCAAATTTTAACCCGAATTAGACGCGCACCCAAAACTGTAATATTTCAAAGATGAAAATGCACACATTTTTATTTAGACATGAATTGATCCTGAATTCAACAATTTACAATTTTTACAATAAAAAAAAATTTCCCAGTTGAAATGGGCCCAAAATGTCCAGTTAGAACTAAATGTAATGCACACCTGAAATTCTAAAACTTCAAAAATATGTATATGTACCCATGACGCGCCCGCCTTTCTCCTCTTGAATTTGAGAAAAAGGTGCGCGTGGTATTCAAGTAAACACGGTAATTATCAAAAAAATACTCACAGTGGATGATAAACCTAGCATACTGAGGGTTTGAACAGTGCCTCTCATCGCACCAGGCGCTTTCTGCAGAGGCTTCTCGGGTCTCACCACCAAGTCACTAGCAAGTAGCTCAATCACTGCGGCTTTATGAGTTTCAATTTTTCGACTTGAAGCACACAAAAAAATTTATTACGGAAATAAACGCTCGCTCTCAAAAATTCCCCCTTCGACTCACAGATGCTCAATCTCGGCTGAACCGGACGCTGGTTTGGTGTCAAAATATTCTTCAGCCTTTTGAGCTAGTTCAGCGGCTTCAGTCAAGTTTCTCAGCGCAAGAGCAACTTCCAAGTCACGTGGGGCACGTCTCAGCCATTCAGGAAGATTGTGAAGTCCTGAGGTTTGGCTCGGTATACCGAACGACTCCGGAAATCCGGCTGATTCCGACAAGCTTTCCAGCGTGGGCGATACAGGACTCAAGCTTCTATTCCGATTCTTTTCTCCTTGCTTTAAAAAGGATAACATACTGTACATTCAACAATTCGATACACAGACATCGCCATGATGGGGCAATTCTTCAACTGGTACTGAAATACTGCCATCAAAGAAAATGTAAGTCCTGAATGGAGGATACATAAACACTATTCAAACCCCCGAGTTCACTCCCTTGAAGTACGGGAATAGTCTGAACGCCTTCTATGGCAATATTAAAAAGCTCAGCAATTTAGAAACACACAATGATGCTATACGGTGAATTAACAAAATGAGAACGCATTTCTACGCTGACGTCTACATAAAGATTGGAGATAATATATTGGAAATACTGCAGAAGGAAAAGGCGATAAAAAGTCATTGAATTAGCTTTCCAGCGATCTTTAAGTTCATGATTTTAAATTGATACTGTATCACCTTCGAACACATTCCAGATGCACTTATTATGGAAAAATATGAAACACCCGATCTCAAATTTCAATTTCAATGCTGCCATCCCTTTAAAATGAAAATTCTGATTTCGTTTCGCTTTCAAGAGAGGAACATATTTCCCGATTTTTTCAAATTTCAAATTATTCAACTGTTTAAAAAATAAATAAATAAAATCCAGAATGCTGGCAGAATCGAAAAAAATGTGGGCATACGAAAAAAATGTCCCCATCAAGCCTGTTCTGCGGTTTGTTCATCTTTGATCTTTCAATGGTTATTGTGGTCATCGCAGCTGAACTCAAAAATTGAAAAGAAACATGATGACTTAAACCTCAAAGATTTTTTCAAGGCATTGATATAAATCAAACAAAAAAGTTCTCTGCTATAAAATGTGTCGACCATTTTTCAGGTAAATAAGCAAAACAACGCATAAGCTCGCGAAAATGATTTCGTTCGATATAAATGTTTGACACGTGCGCTTTCAATGCCTGGAGCACTGTTCAGGACTATCAAATGAGTAAACTCAAACATTTTTGAGCAAACATGTGCATACTAATCAGAGTCACCTGGATACCTCAATCTCACACAAGACGCATCTCTCACCTCTTTTTTCCTTAGTATGGTGCCAACCCGTTCTCGGGGCAAAGGAGCAGGGCTGTCCGGGGGAGACGGAGCTTGGGGGTTCATACCGTCTCCATCCTGCCCACCACTCTGCATTTGTTTCTGAGATTTTTCCCACACTAGTTGCTTTCGTAAGTTGTCAAAGGATTCCAGCCATTGTTTCTTAGTATCAATATCCAAGCATTGGAAAGTTCGAGAAGATGTCGGAGTAAGTACCTAAAAACAAAGTAAAACCATCAATCAAACGAATAATCCATGAAGAACCTCCATCACATGAAGCGTACGGTACCTTGAAAGCCAGCTTGACCCCACCGAGTTCTCGGACATTGACGAAGGCCACAGTGTCTATTGGATACGATGTTTGTATTCTGAAGCGGATTGGACCACGCGGCTGAACAAGCGCAGTGGCAACCAACAAACAATCCGTGAGGAGAAACAAATGGACATCTTCTAGTTCTCCTCCTGAATCAGGATGGATTTCTCTCACACGACCGTCGTGCAGGAGCGACCGGTTCCCCGACTCAATAACGTGCGTCTACAGAAAGGAACGCAATTTAAAGACAATTAAATCAGCTACCAGAGTTTAAAACACTTTCCTTGAAATCCTACATTTAAATTCAGTTTAAGAAGGTTGAAAGAGGAAGAAAAAATACTGTATATTCTACGATCGTTAGTCGAGAGGTCGAAGCAAAAATCGGACGCACTTTAATCGAGCGAAAAAGCTTTCAATTAATTGTATCAGATGTTCAACTGTGATGAAAAAAATTGTCTGCATACCAATATGCCACACTTGATTTTAGCCACACTAGTTTCCATTAAATCCTTTTGGTACATATTGTACAAAAATTCATGGAAAATCAAAATCAAACCCAAAATTCACAAAAGTGGACTCTATTAAATCGATTTACCCCGTATATTGATTTTTTTTGTTCCCAAAGATTTCTGTCTACATGTTATACGTTAAAGAAATTCAAGGGACCAAAAAAAATAATCGTCGTCATGGGAATTTCGTCGTAGAGTGAGTACACCGATATTTTCTCACTAGTTCTAAGGAATTTTCAGTTTAATTCACTTTAGAATAAGCTAAAAATTCGTAGCATGTTGTAGAAAGATGTCCACTTCCGTTTCCGAGCACTATATCATGCAATAGGGCACATTCATCGATTAAACCGTGAATTAAAATTCGACATGCAAACCCAAGACAAAAATTCTCCGATGTTCTCCAATTCTTAGCCACGACTTTAATTTTTATAAACGAGTCGAACGCGGAAGGAAAAACGCATTTTATAATTCGGTGGATAGGATAGTAAAGGTCAATTTCAAAATAAAAAGCTAGTTTGCGACAAACAAATTAGCTTACCGCTCCTTCAACTGCCTCAAGTTTTTTCAGACCAGCTTTTCGTTTAGAGTCGTCTTCCAGCACAGGATCATTCCTGTTGGGAGTCGATCTATCGACACTGGCAGATCTTGGTTGTCGACTTCGATCCCCGAAAATAGGCAGATCTGCCTCCTTGCTGCTGCCAGGAGGCTTTTGTCCAGATATCGATAATTCCAACAGTGACGACAAGAAAGCCTTCTGCTCTTCCATGGCATGCACTGCTCTCGTAACTTCAGATTCCATAGCTATAAATGGAGAATCATAAGTTTCATGGTTTCTCATGCGAAGTCGTCTGGCATTCACACCTAATATTTCCTTCGAAGTTCTGATGAACATAGGGTAGAAATGGTAGACAGCTTTCTTCAGCTTTTCGCTCGAAGCTTGTTCGATCTTCATCATCTGCTTCTCGAATTCATCAAAATCTCTTCCGGAAGCAGTAACGCGCGTTAGTCCATCCACAACTGCCAAACCATTGCAAAAGTTGAACGGTATTTTTGAAAAATAAATAATTCATAGAATTATGAAACTTACATTTACTTGGGTGGAACTCGCGCCGCGAAAGCTCTTTTTCAAAGTCCATTTTTTATCTGAGAAAAGATCATGACGATGAGAATTTTTCAATACTTGAATTAATGTGAAAGATCCAAATTCTCGTTCTCATAAAAATGTTTCGTGATTTATCATTTTTTTCTTCCACACGTGAAATAATTTTGCATTCTTCACACACAAACTGAGATGCATTTTTCAAAATTTCAAGCAAAAACGCTGATTAAAATCCTCATACATATTGTATGACCAGCTCAAAGGTGCTGTTTGTTTTCCCGACGGAATAATTAACTTCAAAAATTGAGGAGCCAATTTAATCGAAGTAATCAGAGTGCTTCGGCGCTGTGTGATGCTATTGAATAAACACACGCAAAAGATATCGAAATTCGTAAACAAAGCGAGAAAGAAAGTATGCCCGTTTGGGATTCGAAATCAAATTTTCACTCCCTTTAAGAAACTTGACCCAGCACACAGAACAACTTATCACAATTGTCAACAATACAACGAATTTTCATAATTCCGTGTGAGCATGGTCCATGTGGGCATTCCGAATAGGGTCGAAATCAGATTTGATAATGTATAAACCGTCACTCGTTTCCCAACGAGATGAAGCTGTCGGGGTCGGAAAAGCACAAACTTCTCTTTGGCCATGGATTGGTCGTCCATACGTGTTTTCCGTCACTCCAAGATATCTTTAAAACGAAAAATATTTCAGAGCAACGTAAGTTAGACGGAGCTCGCCAGAAACACTTACGTTTCTGTATCAGCGTGACGAAACATCACTTTATCTCTGCGTTCCCAGTAGTCTCCCTCACATACAACGATCCAGTTATCTCCGGTGTCGCCGTCGCCTTTCAGGTCCGAGGAATAAAATTATTTCCTGGAAGACTGAAATTATCACCAGAACATTTGCTCACCTTCCTCGCCAAACGCTGAAACTTCCTGGTTTCGTGACAATGGAGAGGAAAAGAGATGTGAATGTAAATTTCGCTTGGTCGTCAAATGTTCTAATCTAATTTCTTGACCGCATTCGACAGGTTCCCTGTAAAAAAAAATAGACACTCAAAGCGACGAAAATTTCAGAAGGACAGGAATACTAACCCACGAGTGCACGGCGACTTGGCAGTTCCTTTTACGGCCCAATGAGAATTTACATCCTCTTGAACGTCCGTGCCGGTCACAGACTGTTGTCCGCTTCCACTACCATACTTGACATCATGCGAATGCAATCGAACTTGCAACTGGGCGTTCATCAGTTTGATCGCTGACCCACACGTAACATACTGCGAAACTGCGTCGGCTGCAAATCAAATGAGATTTCCTTTCTGCGTTGAAGTTTGCGCATTCAATCAATCCACACGATAACTCACCGTAGAAAAAGAACAAGATTTGCAGCCCAAGCGCAGTAGAGAGCACCGTTAACGCGTTCGACAGCTTATTCATGGTAGGAAAAAGAGTTTCCTAAAGGGGAAAAGTTTCGTGAACATAATAAAGCTGAATTTCACAACGAAATCCCATCCACAGCAACACAGCCGAATGGTAAGAAGTTCCAGCATGGTGATAAACCAGAAAATTAGTCACCACTCACTAATTCACAGCACCAAACGAGTCATGACGTGTTCCAATTCACAATGAAAATGGAAGTTCAATTAACCGTTTCCGACTCAAGACTCGAATTGGTCAAAAACTTTCACACTTTTGTTGGCACCATTCATTCGTCAAAATAGGATGGGCACTCGAAAGTAACTGTACACAACAACTTGGACGCCGGTTAAGGGATAGCCTTAGATGAAGGTACAGCGAAATGAAAAAAAAAAACTTCAAAGTTTCGAAAATTTGTCTCTTTAAATTTAAATACTTCCCTTCTCCAGGAAGTACCACACTTCCAGCTCATTTTTGTCACAACCTGGAAGAAAGCACAATTGCCAAGAAATTCCCTTCTTCCATGACTTGCCTGACGTCTCTGAGACAGGCAGGAGTAATGTTTTTCGAAGGGCGTGGCCATGAGACGTCAGAGCGAGAGCTCCGCTGGTGGTGTAGGAATAGCCGGAGCAGAACTCTTCGCCGGTGAGACTCTACGCTGGGTGAACACCGGGTCTGGGGCGAGACCACCCTCCGCTTCAAAGCCACGCCACGCGTGTTGATGCGAACTTCGAGTGTGACTTGTGAATTTGGGCCTTAGGTCATGCTTGAATTATGTTCACTGAGCTACGCGGTTCCAGTAGGATAACATGCTAACCACGTGTGTGGTATTTTCTGTTGATTATGGTGGAACTGGCCCCATAATCGTACGAAATGTGTTTAATTTTGAGTCAGGGACGATTTGTTGAAACGCAAGTCGTAAAATTGAGGTTTTCGTGATTTAAATAATTTTATAATGGCTGCAATACGATCGCGGGCCTGTCGATTGTTCGCGAAAGCTGTCGGAGAAATTCGGGTATCCAATCGTTGCGTGTCGCATTTCGTCTACACTCCCGATGCCTCATCACAGGATGGTAATTTTTCGATTCTTCATTTTGTATTACGATAGTTCATCAAATGTACCTTCATTTCAGGCGACACGACGAGATTGAATCTCTTCCAGTCTATTAATGCCGCTATGGAGACTGCTCTGAAGACCGACCCTACCGCCATCATTTTTGGCGAAGACGTTGGATTCGGTGGTGTTTTCCGTTGCACTATTGGATTGCAAGAAAAATACGGCCGGGATCGAGTGTTCAATACACCTTTATGTGAACAAGGCATAGCAGGATTCGCTATCGGGGCTGCAGTTGCCGGAGCGACCGCGATCGCAGAAATTCAGTTCGCCGATTACATATACCCTGCGTTTGACCAAATTGTCAACGAAGCAGCCAAATATCGCTACAGAACAGGGAATCTGTTTAACAGCGGAAAATTGACGATACGCACCCCGTGTATGGCGGTTGGTCACGGAGCGCTTTACCATTCTCAGTCTCCGGAGGCCTTTTTCGCGCATTGTCCGGGTCTGAAAATCGTAATACCTCGTGGACCGGTGAAAGCTAAGGGCTTGCTGTTATCCTGCATTCGTGATCAGGATCCGTGTATTTTCATGGAGCCTAAAGTCCTATATCGTGCCGCAGTCGAAGATGTGCCGAATGGAGAGTACGAGCTTCCCCTCGGTAAAGCAGATATACTTCGGGAAGGTGCTGATGTTACCCTGATAGGTTGGGGAACCCAGGTTCATGTATTGAAAGAGGTCGCCGAAATGGCCGAAAGTCAGTTGGGTGTTTCCTGCGAAGTGATCGACTTGGTCTCCATCATCCCGTGGGATAAAGAAACCATTTTCAAGGTAAACGTGGAAGCAGGACTTGGTGTAATGACTGTGCTTATTTTGACTACCGCATATTCTCCTTCCAGTCCGTTTGCAAAACTGGCAGAGTCGTTATTGCGCATGAAGCCCCTCTGACGGGCGGTTTTGGTGCTGAAATCGCAGCTTCCATACAGGTGAAACAGATTGAAACGCAAATTTGTTCGGTTTGTTTTTCCCCCGTTAAATTAGTCAGAAAATTCTTCTGAAATACTCAATGAATTTATCGTAAAACTTCTCACAATTTTACTGTGAAGGAGTTGTGTCTGTGTGGTACTTCAGTGTTTTCATATCGTACTACAGTACTGTACAGTATAGTATATGCATATCCTCTTCATCTTGCCCGAAATGTTGGAATATTCTGCTGATTGAAAAGTGTAGTGTCCCGATAATTCAAAATATCATCGAAATACGTAAATGCTGCACTTCAGAAATTTCTTTCACTTCAGGGCACAATTCAAATGGTGAAAAATTGTCCTTCCTAGTGTCTCGGCATAATTTCGGTTCGAGCGATTGCAGTTTTCGTGATGTTGGTGCGGTACAATGACATTTCTCGTATTATAATTTTACTGGGGATTCATGTACTCTTTTTGGTTGAGGAATCAGACACTGGCTCCGTTTTATTTATTTTTTCATGAAAGTTCATGCATTTCATGAACGTTTGATGTTAATAATCATGATTCACCGGTGTGATAATCTAACTTCTTTTCTTTAGGAGGAGTGTTTTTTGAATTTGGAGGCCCCTGTCACACGAGTTACGGGATGGGATACGCCGTTTCCTCACGTCTTCGAACCATTTTACATCCCTGACAAATGGCGTTGTTTTGAAGCCGTGAAGAAACTGAAAGAGTTCTGAATCTGCGATGAAACTCACCGGTTGTGACCATGGAATCTCTGCTAAGATTTTGATACGCTCAAATTGTCAGCAGATTTCGATCATGTTCTTTTCGAATCATGTGCAATACCTAGTTTTCATTCTACTTAAGCTAACGTATTTTTGGCTGTTGGAATCCGTGCCGGTTATTTTCTTTCGAGGTCTGGTTTTGTTACATTGCGAGCTGTGTTTGCGGGGATTTGTAGTTTCGTTTGTTCGTTGACGAATGCTGCTTGGGGTTTTCAGAGTGATGTTTTTTGTTTTGCCAATTACGATACTACGTGGAATGCATCGTAACAAATCGCGATTGTCGATTCTGTGTTCCTGTATATCTTATCGAGTAATATTCGATACCAATTTTTGCAGAAACTCGTAATCCGCGCGAGGTAAATATTTGTGTTCAACTTAGCATCGAGTTTTGTGTGCGATGCATTCCCTTAGTCTGGGTCCCGAGGATGACGCAGACAAGAGAATAGTCAACGAATTTTGTCATCTACTCGAGAAATCAAAGCAGCTTTTCAATGGACTTCGAGATTTACCGCAGTATGGGCACAAGCAATGGCAAGCGTACTTCGGAAGAACTTTCGACGTCTACACAAAGCTTTGGAAATTTCAGCAGCAGCACAGGTTAGTGAAAAACTAGTCTAATTTTCTCTTTTCGATTGATAACTTTTACTCTCATTGCTTAACAGGGCCTCGCTTGACGCGAAGTACGGCTTGAAAAGGTGGCAAATAGGCGAAATCGCGTCGAAAATCGGACAGCTTTACTACCATTACTAGTTCGTGAAAATTTTCCTGAAACATTTGCTGACAATCTTGGCAATATCCCTTTTTTTCAGCTTGAGGACCAGCGAAACGAATTACCTCAATGAAGCTTTTTCGTTTTACTCAGCAATTCGATCACGGTCTTATTATTCGAAAGCGTCTCAAGAAGAGCGGTAAGAATTGATTTTGTTGAAGTGTTCGATTGGCGCAGTTCAGTGAGTGTTCGTATCTTCTGTTTAAGGTCTGATCTTATGGTGAAAAAGTTACGTTACTATGCGAGGTTCATCGTGGTTTGTCTGTTGTTGAAGAGGATAAAGATGGTTCGCGATCTTGTGCGGGTGAGAATCTAGATAAACGCTTCGAATGTATATTTTTGACATTCGATTTTAAAAATATAACTATCTGCTTCTGATTTTCTAGGAATTGAATAAGCAGATTGATGAGTATACGACGACGTACGAACCGGAAGATCAATTCGAGTGGTCCCTGGTGTTGAGTGAAATCCGATCGTTTTTACAAGCCGATGCCACCGTCAATGTCATCGACAAGGATTCAAATCCCGTTATCGTCAGTCATCGGTTAGAAGACATTTTTATCGAATCAGCGCGATTTCTTGTTAGTTTTTAAAAATTAAGAAATCGCATCACAATCTTTTTGTGATGTCAGCTGGTTGTTGCAGAAAATGAATGCAAGAAAGAAAAGACCCATGTTTGAGCAGCAATTTTAATGCCACCCAAATTAGTTAATAAACCAAAGATATTTTCAATTAAAAGTGCAATTGAGAAGCTTTTACTTCTTTTTTGACGTTTAAAACTTGAATGCTGTTCAAACTGGAGTACTGCATTGTAGTAATTAAAAAAATGCATACAACATTCATATTTTACTTGAATACGTGTGTCTTCGAGTTTTAACGCAGGAAAACGGAAATTTGTCTAAGGATAAATTTAACCTTTTAGGCTTTCAAATTCTGTATATATCTTCTATAATTTCCCAAAGTGCTCTTGTTATGACTTGTTAAACACGAACCTGAGGAGAAACTGTGATGATTCACCCTTTTTGAACTGTACAGTAAAAATATTTTCGAAAATGTTAATAAAAATTGAATTTGCACTCTAAAGAAAGATTGTTTCATGCATTTTTTTGTAGTATTGTATTTATGCTTTTTCGTCGAAAATCCCTATTCTCATGAATAGTACCCCTTGTGAATGAATTTGTTGCACACTTGATGCGTTATGAAGTTTTATAGAAGCATGATGTGCGAATATAATTTTACAGCGGAAGTGAATAGAACTTCAATTGTAGACAATGTTTTTTATGTTTTAACCAATAAGTACTGCATTGGGAGATGTGTCTTAAGCACGCTAACGTGGAGGAACAATTTTTTTTTTCAGACTGAGTCCACACACGACTCCTCCGGTCGACCGTTCTCCGCTGATGCACCTTACCCTTCAAGAAATCCTAATAGTCGGGAATTCTTCGGACCAGGTGAAATTCTCTGAATTGACCATTGACATGTTCAGAATGTTGCAAACGCTGGAGAGAGAACCGACCATGGATGCAATGATGCCGGTGTATGATGCATCGCCTGCCCCGGGACGATCTCCATTGGTGATTACTGGCATGAATTGACAGACTCCGATCATTCTTCGTATTCTGGTGGTGATGGTTGGTTGCTAATCTATTGCATGCGTCAGGAAAACGGGGCGTCTCTCAAGCGAGAGAATCCGCACAAATACCTGTTGTACAAACCGACCTTTTCGCAGCTATTGGTTTTTCTGGCGTCAGGTTGGACTTTGAAGCGATGCGCGTGTCTGATTTCTTTCGTAATTTCAGCGCGTTTGTTTTCTGCCTTTGCAGGGTTTAAAGAGTTGCCAAGCAATGGAGCGCTGTTGCTCTATATGTCTGCCGACGGATCTTTCCCGTTGTCAAAGTCCATCGATGAGAGAGACTTTGATTACGGTGGTGTTGTGATGAACTATAGCAAGAGGCTGGATGTTGATCATGCGTCCAAACGTACTGCTACCAATCACAAAGAAATTCATTGGTTTGTTCCTTCATTCATTGAGAAGTTTTATCAGGGCTCGTTGCGCAATGATGATTTTCTCGTTGGGCTTGATCCATTTTAGTGGTCCGTAAAACAAGTAAAGTACAGGTCTGTTATGTGGGGTTGTATCGATAGCGTAATTCATTTCCGACGCCAAAAAAAAAAATTACCGTATTTCCTTTCGTATCTCACGCACCTTTTTCCAATAAATCCGGACAACAAATTGGGTGCATGTCATAGTTAAGTCTATAAATTTAGGTGATATTAAAAAAAATTAAAACTATCCTACCTTACATATTTTCAGTTCTTATTTAATGATACTACTATTTGTATAAAAAAACAAATCGCAATTTTATTATTCGATCTTTAAGTGGACTTCATTTTACATTTTTACCTTTCACTTTATTTTACGTACAACTGTAGAAATTTGGTAACTGAAAAGAGTGAACTAAGGTGCGCATCTTACGCCGGGATTTTCCACAAAATGTTAGCTTAAAAATTGCGATGCGCGTCTTACTCGAGTAAATACGGTGCTTGATTTTCGGAGGCTATATGAAATCCAGTAGGTAATTTGTTCAAGACTCTTGAGAAACTTCCGAAATTATATCTTGAATGCTGTGTGTTGGTTGATAATTCAGTGTTGATGTTGATAAAAGGAATGAATTTTCTGTGGTGCTGAGCGAATTTCACATTTATTCGCAGTTTATATCCTGAAGATCTATGGCCGTTTACCAGAAGACCACTTTTCCTGGTTGTGGATTCGGAGAACAGTGTGTCTTTTCTGAACATGAGAACGGCGCAATTTGGGCAATCCTTAGTCATCTTATTGTCACCCACTCATGTTCCTTCGCAGTATCAAGGTACGATTTTTGTAGAACTACGTACGATATTTTGTTTATGCTGAATTCAATTCAGCAAGAATTGTGCGCCAAATACTGTCGCCCGCGAAAATTCTAAAAATCTCCGCTGTGTCCGTGAGCTCGGCTTTATAAGAGGGGTTTTATAATCGTGAAATTTTAAATGCGAGTTCTTTTGAATTCCTTCAATTAAGTCAAATAACATGTTGTGAGGAATCTCGATGTTCTTCATCAAGGTTGTGATTCAGTGAGGTTTTTAGTTTTGAAAATATTTTTGTATATCCGAACAGGTTTTCACTTTTCAGTAAGCCTGAGTTCGCTCATCGTTGAAAATTGTCAACTGGGTTTCTCGAATGCATGAGCTGTTCAATTGAAAGGACGTTAGTTGCTATTTCGTTCGTAGATTTCTGCCTAGTATCAATTCTGTGAATTTCTTGATGACTTTTCAAAACTTTCGAGTGTACATTTTCTTGAAGAAGAAGAAGCTTAGCTTTTCTTGAGGATTTATAGATTTTTGCATTTGCATTGAAGATTTTCAGCAACGAGGAAGGCTGATGACGTATTTTCTCCATTCACCTCTCGGCGGGCTGTGCTTGTTGTGTGGGATTGTGGACGTTCCTGCAAACGCCTGGGAAGTTTGTTTACCGTTGGTTGACCGTTTCATGGCTGAGGCTTCGCGTTTGATAACGAAATCACGTTCGATTGGTGAGTTTGTCAAACTCTAATGACGAAGATTTTCGGAAATGAATCTTTGGGATGCTTTTCAGATCACTCGATAATTCACTTTTTCGGAGACGACTTTCTACGCGTGCTCCTGTTGCGTTTTGTGTTTTTTACCGTCATCGTTCGCCTGCATCAGCACTTCAAGGTATGCATTGCATCATGTCTATTTTTTTTTTTTTCTGAAAACAGACGAAACTGTTCGTTGATTTTTTCACACGTGGTGTACACAGTTACCCAGACTAACCTGGGCACGCGAGGGAAATTCTAAATTTCTTCTTACTTATAAAACAACTGCAAACTTTACATTGCTGTGATTTCAAGCACGACGGTAAACCTCTGATATATCAGCGCTGTTAATTTTTTTCTCAATTTACTGAGTAAAGAACCAAAACTGCATTTTGTCTCAATTTACTGAATTAAGAACCAAAAATGCATTTTCTGAGGTCTTGAGTCTGCTTGTTCGCATTTAAAATTCGTTCTACGTAATATCAATGGACGAATAAAGTCTAAAACCATGAAGAATTCTCCCGTCGTTTTAATTGAAATGATCCATATTTTTTTGGGTTGTTTCATGGATTGCGACACATTTGGGTATCACTGCCGTATTCACAAGGTGTTAATTCGGCTTTTTTTCTACTTTATATTGTAGTGGGTTATGATCCAATACGTTTAAAGTTTTTTTTCTTTTTTTTTTTTTACGAATGTTGAAATTATGACGCCTGGTTTTACTGGGCGCAACTTGATGAGTCCTTGTCGAATATCTCGCTGTACTGTACTACCTTATGACTATATTCGGTGATACGCAAGTGGGGAAAAATTCAAAAGATAGTGTGTCAAAAACCGTGTATTGGCCGAATTAATGAAAATCAGTCGTCAGTATTTCAAGCAAGTTTACAAACATCTGCGTACGAGGAAGATGCATTAAACAAAAGGCCCTTTGTTTTTGTCAATGCATCATGTTGTCTCAGTAACGTACAATGAGAATTCCACCTAGAACTCGAACAGCCCTCAAATGATACGATAGCAATGCTGAAAAGCACACAAAACGAACTTGGAAGCGGGTATAACTCAAGATGACTCATCGTTTTGCATTGCTGTTGTAAACATCATGTACATCTAATATTGTGAAAGAAGAAAACGAATGTCATTGTAATGGACGAAGTGCAGTAGGAAAAAGTGCAATTGAGCGCATTTTTACGGGTATGCATTGATTTTTTTTTCTTACACTTGATATTGAACTTCATTTGGTACCAGATTGAAAAAAAAAACCCGAAAGTTGAAAGCATCAGAAATAATGTCTCGCCTAGTTGTGTAAGCTTTGATGGAGGTTGAACTTGCGGGAAATCCGTATACATTTCAGCGAAAAAGTCTTTCTCACAATCTGAAAGCCTTAAATATATCACACGTCTCGTTTTTTGGCCGAATTTTCTTTCCACGTGTTGTGATTATTATTTTTTTTAACAGGGTCGTCAATTTCAACCTACTAGTGTGCCAGCTTTCCCGGAAAATGAAATTTTGGACCACCCCAGTTTGAAACGGATTGTGCTCGAATTGGCGGACCATCTGGATTCCCGTGTTGCGTTTTTTAGCTCCGACTCAATGCAATAATGTATTGCTCAGATTCATATTACTGGGCCTTCCTGTTATAATTTTGCTTGTGGGAGTTGATTAACGTGTTGCAACAAAAAAAGAAGGGTTGTATGCCCGGGTCAATTTGAATTTTAAACTGATCTCGTGAGTGTGATTTTTGAAATGTTTAAAGTGGTGGAATCCTGTTCGTAAGATTATTTGAGGAGCACTGCCGCGATTCCTGTTCAAATCTAATCTTCACGCACTCCGTTTTTCACTGTTCACTACTCCTTCGGATATCAAATTATTGCTCATTCTTGATAGGCTTCAATAGTAGGTACAGTACTTCGTTTAGGTTTCGTGCTACCTGACGTCTTTCAGCGTGAGGATGCTTGTGCTTTTTGGAAATTTCGCGTTACAACGGTATTTGCTTCATTTTTTTTGTCTATTGCGGATTCTGTGATGTACCCTGCCATGAGTCTCCGGTGATTCACGCTCTCTTAAAATCCCGAAATCATGATTATTTCGGAGATTTGTGAATGATGAAATCTGTGCCGAATGAACGTAGCATGGTTTGGAAGATCGAAAGAAAAATCTTGACATCACCCTGACGAGTGCCTGGAGTTTGGGAAAGAAAAGCGGGCAGTTTTTGGCTTTTTAAGTCTCGACGTGATCCTTTTATTCGTAATGTAACAGAGATTATGAAGCAACAATCTTTTTTCCTCAGTGTGCCATCGATTTCATATCATTTCCCAAACGTCAGCCACGAGTCCTGAGTCCCGAAATCAACGAAACATTTTCATATCCTATTTCAGGTGCCGTATGTTTGCTATTTTCGAGGTGATGCAAGGCTTTTTTTCTTAACTTTCTTTCACATTGTCCAACGTTCCTTTCGCACAAATTTTACATTTATTTGTTCATTGTACCTGAAGATATTAACGTTTTATTGAATCCAGTAACGCGTGAATCACTTTTTTTTATAATTCGAGACGCTTCTTCCCCGTCGATCCTAGATTAATATTTATGCTTTGTATTGCGCGAATAAGTTCCACGTCCTATTCCTTTGTAAAGCTGGGCGAGCCTCCGAGGTAAACTCATTTGTGTGAAAATGATTTTTGTTTCTTAAAAATATAAAAAAGTGTTCGCATTCCCCAAATTACTCTGGTCTAGTAGGTACGTTTTGTTGTGTGTCACATTTGGGGCAAACCTGGTAGTGATGAATGTAACGTTGATATAAGCGCGATAATTTCTGATGCAACCTCTCAGTGAAGACCGTCTTTTTCAGATTCATAAATCGCATTTTAATTTTTTGCCTTCGGTGGAGTAGCCCGAGGTCATCCATGCACTGGTTATTTTTCAGTCCCGAGAAATGCGTTTTCGGTTCGATTAAAAAATAAATTTGGGGTCTGGATGATTAATTTTTGACAATGAATTTCGAGAGCTGCATTTCCAAATGTTGTGAAGGGAATTCCTACTTTTCATGAGCGAACCTTCGTTCCAGTTACACCTTTCGGGAATGCTTCCGTGTATTGTAATGTGAACAGCTCTGATGCGATTTCCATTCCTTACTGGTTTCTTCTAACATTTTCTTGAAAAGTAGTGTAAGTGAGATTCCCTTAGGATAAGCTCATGATCTTGGTCACCTCTGAGTGCTTATGATATGGATTTCAGTTTTACAGCCAATTCCTGTCCATGATTGTTACTCTAGATAAATGTGTTGACGCCAACGCATGAATCGAACACTTTCGTGGTGAAAAGATCTCTTTTGATTCAATATCTGTTTTTTTCACATGTTACACAATGTCTTCAATTGAATAAGGCAGTTAAAATATTAATCCGTAATCTTTTTTTCACGACATGAAAAGTCAAATGGCTCGTGCGAGTCATCCGGTTTCCTAGCTTGCGGGTTGTGTAATCCATTAAGTATGCAGTATGAGATGTCATACTTGCGTATAACGGATTGAAACGGAGGATAATAGGGAATCCACCCTAGGGTAAGTGTGTGGATAAATTCATGCCGTGAAATGAGAGTCCCATCAGACAAAATGGTGGTACAAAATTAAGATAAAAGAAGCAAATTAATTCTGAGAGCATGCGGTGTTCACGCGTAACTTCACTGCGGTTTTATCGTTGGATTTGGGTAGTGAATTATTAAATTGGATCACTTGATGAATGTCTTGAATTTGCTTCGCTCTAACAGCATTCTATAATGGAGATATGGGGACCGGTCAGGTATAATCGTGAGGTGTATTCGTTTTAATGATTGGGGTTTTAGGATGTGGAACTTGAACGCGTAATGCCGTCTTCGGGATCATCTGAAGAGTCCTTCCCTCAGCAGCGAAATATTTTCGGCACGTTTACATTGTGGGAAAGAAATATATCAGGGAGAGATTCAAGTTCGGCTTTGTTTACCCCAGCACGGATTTGTACTCGAGGTGAATTATCGTTTTTAGGGTTGCCATTTGGGCTGACGCTTACTGAATGGAAGTTCCCCCGTATTTGGACTCGTCTTCGGTTTCTTTTGATCGAATATGGGTTGATATTTTTTTTCGTATTCATAGTATACCTACTTCTACCGAAACGTGCCGCATGTCTAACTTCGATTGGTGAAAGAAAATCACTTTTTGAAACGAAAACGTTGTGTTGATTATTTCGCGTCCCGATCTGAAGCGTGTTCATCGAATTGTATGACATTGTGGTGGGTTTCTTGTTCGATAGTGATATGCATGAGGCTAGAAAACCTTCGGGATATTCAGCTTGCTGGTGATTTGTGCATATTCCTTTTGTTTTCAGGTTACTCTTCTGTCGTTATTTATTATTTAATTCGCTTGTGTGTTATGATATATTCACTGTACTCTTCCAATCGAAGGCTTCAACAAAACAATTTATTTATTTTGGTTTGGGTTGAAAAATTCCGGAGTAAACTACTGTATAATGCATCAGTTTGAAAAAAGTATTAAATTCACATCTATGATCATGCTATTATGACTAATATTGCTTATTATTTTGAGAGATAAGATTCTGAAATCTAACCTATCATCAGCATCTCCAGCTGCGGGGACTTGAAGAATTAATTGAATTTTTTATACTGTTATACTGTTAGTGGGGCGTACTCCCCATGCAGGAGGATTAGTCCACATCCGTGGAGTGCGATTCTGCAGAGGCATTTTGGCAGTGATCACTCTGGCAGTGGTTTCTTCCACAGAATTCAGAGGAAAGTTGATTCCACAGTGATTCTTGAAGCGGCATTTACTTCAGCAAAAATAATGATGAATTCTGTGAAAATCTATTTTCACAGGAGGCCTTGGAGCTATCCCTCTTGGGGGGAGCCACGCACAAAACAATGCCCTCATAGATGTTGCTAAGAACAACACACGCAATGTTATCAGCGGCATCCATGTGTGGTTCTCAAAAATGAATCATCTTCCCCCCAATTATTCAACAACCCTGTTGTTCTGATGCTGGGGTACACTATCCTAAGCCTTACCATTTGGTCTGTTTCATCCTTGATCCAAGTTCATTATTGACAGTATTTGAATTGAAACGTGAATTGACACTTGCAGTGTTATTTATTGGGATTCAACTGAAACTGACTTAGGGGGGAGGGGCAGTTAGGTAAAGTTAGGTAAGGTCAGGTCATGTTTGTTAAAATATTTCATTTTTATTGACATCTGTTCATTGAAAATATTTTAACTAACATAACCTGACCTAACCTAACTTTACCTAACCACCCCCAAAAGTCAGTTTCAACAGAATCACAATAAATAACAGAGCAATAATGATGCAAGTGTCAATTCACATTTCAATTTGAATGTTGTAAGATGTTTTTAAAATGGGATTCAGACAGGGACTTGAAAAAATTTTGACTTATGAAGGAATTTGACTTAGCAATGTTCAACTTATTGAGATTTACCTGTACCATGCTTTAGCACCTCATAATAAACTGGGCACATATGTTTTTGCCACCATGCTGGTCTATAACAATGCCTCCTGTGAAAATGTATTTTGGCAGAATTTAAAATTTGTTTGCCAGAGTAAATTCTGCTTCAACAATCACCTTGGAATTGGCTCTCCTCCAATTTTTGTTGAAAGAACTATACTGCATTTGTTCACCATGAAACTTCACTCCGCGGATTTGAATAGACCCGCCGGACGGCATATCAGTGTAGCACACACTGGAGTACACCCTGCCTAGGTAGGGTGTACTCCTGGAGTGCATCCTGCCTAGGCAGGGTGTACTCCTGGAGTACGATTTTGGGAGAGTACGCCCTGCCTGCCACACCGGTGTACCACATGGAGTCCTCGAGATTCAAACATGGCGGCGTCTTATGCGAAATATACCGGATAGCTAGAAGTCATACCGGACATTGACCATCGTATGGTCACGTACTGCATTCTCTTTAACGCAATATTTCCGCGCACCAGGAAGGATGGTGAAAATATGCGAATTCTGTTCACGGAAAATGTTAGTTCCTGGCGTGTGAGATAACATAGTGCTTGATTCATAGCCGTTGGAGGTCCAGAATGTATTGAACGAAATGGCTTTTGAGCAACCCAGATTCATTCCGCACTTGGATCATCATTCATGAAATTGAATTCTTAGCATAGGGCTGATAGCACCCGGTGTCTTGATATTTATTTTCACTATCCAAACTCTCAGGTTGTTTATTAGTTCCTAATCCTGAACGTGTGGTGGAAAAGTCTAAAAAACCGAGATGAGCGTGAAGGTCAGTGATTCACCAGCATTTCATATGAACCATTGACTGGTCTATAACAATGCCTCCTGTGAAAATGTATTTTGGCAGAATTTAAAATTTGTTTGCCAGAGTAAATTCTGCTTCAACAATCACCTTGGAATTGGCTCTCCTCCAATTTTTGTTGAAAGAACTACTGCATTTGTTCACCATGGAACTTCACTCCGCGGATTTGAATAGACCCGCCAGACGGTATAGCACACACTGGAGTACACCCTGCCTAGGTAGGGTGTACTCCTGGAGTGCATCCTGCCTAGGCAGGGTGTACTCCTGGAGTACGATTTTGGGGGAGTACGCCCTGCCTGCCACACCGGTGTACCACATGGAGTGTTCGAGATTCAAACATGGCGGCGTCTTATGCGAAATATACCGGATAGCTAGAAGTCATACCGGTCATTGACCATCGTAAGGTCACGTACTGCATTCTCTTTAACGCAATATTTCCGCGCACCAGGAAGGATGGTGAAGATATGCGAATTCTGTTCACGGAAAATGTTAGTTCCTGGCGTGTAAGATAACATAGTGCTTGATTCATAGCCGTTGGAGGTCCAGAATGTATTGAACGAAATGGCTTTTGAGCAACCCAGATTTATTCCGCACTTGGATCATCATTCATGAAATTGAATTCTTAGCATAGGGCTGATAGCACCCGGTGTCTTGATACTTATTTTCACTATCCAAACTCTCAGGTTGTTTATTAGTTCCTAATCCTGAACGTGTGGTGGAAAAGTCTAAAAAACCGAGATGAGCGTGAAGGTCAGTGATTCACCAGCATTTCATATGAACCATTGGTTTCCTGATAAATTTCTAATGTCGAGGAAGAAGTAATCGCCAACCCCGTGAATGTTTTTGAAGGTGTTTTTTGACATGACTGCTGGTGGCGAACCAGTCGGCCGGATCGTCATGCAACTTCGCAACGACGTTGTCCCGAAGACAGCAGAAAATTTCCGTGCTCTTTGCACGGGAGAGAAAGGATTCGGCTACAAGGGATGCACTTTTCATCGTGTCATTCCCGATTTCATGTGCCAGGGCGGAGACTTCACCAATCACAACGGAACCGGAGGAAAGTCGATCTATGGAAACAAGTTCGAAGATGAGAACTTCACCCTTAAGCACACCGGGCCTGGAATGCTTTCAATGGCAAATGCTGGGAAGAACACAAATGGATCGCAGTTTTTCTTGACCACGGTGTCGACTCCATGGTTGGATGGAAAGCATGTTGTTTTCGGTTCTGTTATTGAGGGCATGAATGTCGTGAAGATGATAGAGACACTGGGCTCCCAGTCAGGGAAGCCAAGCAAGAAAGTTGTTATCGCTGACTGCGGCCAACTCTAAGAGCAAAATTTGTTCTGGAATCCGAACTTTCTGTCAGCTGACTCTGGTTTTCAACATTTTCAAACGCTATTGGTGAAAGAACTCGGGTTCATTCCTCATTTTTTCTTGGATAATCTTCGGCTAATGACAAAGTCAGGAGTGGTTTATGTTTAACGTTCTTCTTTTTTTGTTCATTGCGCGTCGGCGGTTTTGAGGAAAGTGGAAAATACCATTTCTAAATCAAAGTTCGTGTCCTTCCCATTTTTAGTCTGCGGCTTCCCTTGAGTGAAATCCCAGGCCATGGTTGTGAAGAAATTTCTATGCGGATGCGGGATATAACCGATGAATAATGAAACATTGGTCAGTCATTGTACAGCTGCAGATATGCGTAGCCACACTCAATATACATGTCCATGTGTTTTTTTCCATCCATATGTTTTAGTGATCAAACCGAGAAACCCATTTTCTGCTTGAAATCTACATGAATGAATTGCAAGTATTACCCCTCCATGTTACATCACATTTCATGGGACTAGCAAAATTTAAGTTTGAGTTGGGGAAAAAAAGCATTTCTGTTGGGGAAAAGAACAAGGAATTACAGGAAAATTTTAATAAGTGATATTCTTGGCCTTGAATTGCATCTTGAATAAGTTCACAGGATGGTGAAATTGGAGACAAGAGTTCATTTGCCCCATCAATCATTCACTTCCTTTCAAACTGCATCAAAGATACAGTTTGTATATTGCTTTCCTGTGTAAATCAGCTAATTATTGTATGTGTTGGTGTGCATCATAAAGAGAATACTTTGCTCCTGTAATTTCATAAGAATTGAATTTTCATCAATCTCTACAAGTCTACATAAATAAGCAGTACTTGCAGATTCCAGATATAGTATTCCATGTCAAACCAAATAGCCCAGTTGAAATCTTGGAAATGATCATTTGGTGGCATCTGAAAAATAAAAGGAATTAAATTCAAATAGTTAATTGTTGAATAGCTCAGTCAACATGAGATATGAACACAGGCTCCTCAGAGCAGGATGACAACTCTTTACCTCGACTGGTAACAAAAATTCATCCTACCTATATGGGGTAGATCATAATCTTTGGCTAATGTATTGTGGTTCAATAATGGCACATCAAACCTGCATACAATACTTGATTATTCAGAATCCAGCCAGTTGCCCCAATTATCCTTATTGGTGTCATCAAGTATTTCAACATCCAAATTCAGAGGGGAACACCTGAATGAATGAGACAGGCAACCAATGCAAAAAGTCTTATGTTGCATATGATGAATTCATATCTACAAGTACCCAATATTTGTCTGCATTAATTTACCATTGGTTAGATCTATGACCAAAATATACCATGCTGTGCAATGGTAAAATTTATTCTGCTGGACATAATGTGCGATGGTCAACTTATTGATGTTTCTTCACCTCAATAATTGATGAGTCAGGTGTAGGTTACTGAGTCATCCATGTCTGTGTCCTCTCCCTTCAACATTATCACAATGCAGAATGAATCGCCTTCGTGATGAGGTTCCTCTTTTTGATGGATAATCATGAATTACATCCTGACCGTAAAAATGGTTTCCCCTCCATGAATAAGGCCTAATTAAACAAATTATCCGTTCCGTGACACCCTTTTTTTCTATGATAAAGAGACTCATAAAATGAACTTCTTTCATGTAGAATGATTCTGAATCAGAAATTCACTGCTTGAATGCATATGCGTTTTTGAGGTTTACCTTTG